CACCAAGAAAGACAGTGGTAACCACACATGCCTTCCTGACAGGTCAGGGGGCACTCTGGGAGGGCAGAATGGCATGGTGTATGGAGACTCTCTTGGGGCATTGAACACATCAGTATCTTGGCATTGAGAGTAGTTGACCTTGCTCTGAAGGCTGTCCCTCCCCCCATTCAGGGCAGGCATGTCTTGGTAAGGACAGACAGTTACTCTAGCCTGGTTCCAGACCATAGACCCCGCCCACTCAACTGAGTAGGCTTGCATCTCTGCTCTGGCATACTTCAATGAATTTGCGATTTATCTCGTCCAAACAATGGACGGCCCAATGAACGCCGGGGGTCTAGCGATTAGCCAATCAGCGCCACGCTGATGTCAAGCTGTACGCCGGTGGGTAACTGGTGAGGATAGCAACAATGGCGACCGCTACAGATCCTACAGACCACATTAACGATGCTATCGAGGTATTTTGTCACTACTCGCGTTAATGGAGGACCAAATTAAGGAAGCTGCTAAACTGGATTTAACGGCGATGCAGCTGGGCGTGCACGACGACGGAGACATTTTAAACGGGCAATGCTCGCTTGTTTTTGGCACCCCCGAGGCATGGATACTAATGACGTCAGATTCTGGGTGAGTTGTTGATCTCTACTGATTGGTTAGGGAAAAAATCAAATTCCCTCCCCCTTGTAAATCGCCTTCAATGGAAGCCATGTCAGACTGAAGGTTCTGGGAGCTTCAGTCTGACAATCAGGCTACAGTTACTCCACTGTGTATCACATAAACCATCAAGGAGGCACCAGGTCCGTGTGTTGCCTCCAAATGGCACAGAAACACTTGTTTTGGGCCTTTCAGCATCTGGCTTTGCTCAGTGCAGTTTATATTCCAGGGACAGGTCACAGAAGCAGTGGCCCTCTTATGGACCCCTGGGTTTAGATGCATGGTCTCAAAAGTGGTTGGAAGGGTTGTTGTACACTTTTTCTCCGTTTCTTCTGATTCCCCAGGTACTCAACAGGATTGTCCTGGGCCATTGCAAGGCACTATTAGTAACTCCCCTGTGACCAAGGAGGCATTGGTTTCCAATGCTCCTTCGCTTGGCTCACAGTCAACTTTGGTCCAGGCCAGTCAGGGTGGACCTTCAGAGGCAGGAAGATCCAGCCACTTGCACCAACAAGCTACTCCTCCACTTTTTTTCAGTCACTGTTGGACTCAGAAAGAGCGACTAGCACTATCAAGGTGTACATTGCAGCTATATCTTTCTTTCATGAGGCAGTGGGGAGGCGTTACAGTAGCGAGTCATCCCTTAGTGTCTTAGTTTATTAAAGGAACATATGCCTCCGGACAGGGAGGGCGGTCAGAGCTCCATCCTGGGATCTCACTTTTGTGCTAAGATCCCTGACTCAAGCTCCTTATGAACATATAGAGCAGTCCAACAAAACACCTTTCTTCTCAGCTTTATGTTTTGACAAGAGAGTGAGTGAGTTGCATATTCTGTCTGTTAGAGATAAATGTCTGAGAGAGGAGGCTGATAACACAGGCTTGTCTCTGGCCAAATGGTAAATCAAGTGGTTGAGATCGGTGCATTTCAACTTGATCTGGCTCTCCTGCAGGTTGCTTACTTTGTGTCCAGTGAGGGCACTGAGGGCTTATTATGCACACACTCAGTCTCTAAAATGCTCTCACTCTGAGGTATTTGTCTATTTCAATCACATTAAATTGGAGCTCCCTGTGTATAAGCAATGTTTATATTATTGGATTGTTAAATACTATCTCGCAGGAAGAGCCTCCCAGTCCAAGCTGACTTCTAGCATGACACCTGTTATATCGCAGTGCTTCCGCATCCAGTGAGAGCATGGCGTTACTATCGCAGAAGCTAATTCAGTTAAAGGAATAATGGGAAGTCACTGTTAATTCACCAGGGCTAGGAATGAGGGGACAATGCATTCATGAGAAGACATTTCTAATGAATGTTTCTGCAGAAGTTGTTCATACTAAATGGCATTCAACGCAGGTTGTCATTGTGGTTGAATAAAAATATGTAAATATAAATCAACAGTGACACATACCAGGAAGTGTTAACTTTTAACAGCCTCCTTTTCATATCAAAAAGATCACTGCATTTATGTAGTGTGTACAAGCGGACATTTGTTCTAAAAAAAAAAAAAAAAAAAAAAAAAAAGTTAAGCTTTGCTCAAAAACTACCACATTGTAATGCAACATCAACTGGTAACACACATACACACAAGTGCACATTTAGCTACCATCGAGGACACAGAGGGTTTGTGGGCTTTAGCAACCTGCTGAAATGTTAAATTCTCCGATTATTAAGCTTAGCTAGTTTTCAGCCAATAATGTAACAAGTATGTGCTTTAGAATTTCTTCTGCATAATTTTATTGCTGGTATTGTTTGGAAATAAAATAGCCAAAAAGTAGAATTCTAACAACCTGAAGCAACATGGGCGCACCACCCACAGTACTCTGTGTGAATGCAGCCTAACTAGAGGAAATGATGTAATGTCCACTCCTCACTCTACCTGAGAAAAACGACCAAGAACTGAATCAGGACTTCACCAGAAGTCTGTGAATATTTATGTGTGTGTCGTGTCCTAGTGACAAATGCTGCACATGTGGAGGACAACATGTATCTGTGTGTCTTGGCATATGATGATGGTGGTTGTGGCAGGTGTGTATATGTGAATATGTGTCTTCCCGCGTGTTGCGTCATAACTGTTTTTGTGGACAGTAGAATGGATCATGTATCCATACAGGCTTGCTGCAATATTCCTCAGAACCGCTCTAAGTGACTAACTACTTCCTGCCCCAGCAGCATTCCTGGGTTAGTAGACAACCGGTGTTGTCATGAAGGTGGTGATTTCGAAGCTCATTTTGAAACTGATCTGAGCTCAGTTTCACAGTGACTGCACCGTCAGTCTGGGGCGTTGAATGAGTGAAACCACAAACTAATTCCAAACATTCAGAGTTTGTTTTAACTGGATCTGAGTACAAGGCGGGTGGAGTTGGAGAAACACACATACATGTTTTGTTTTGCTTTTGTTTTTTTATCTTCAGTGTTTTGACAAGCCCTACTAATTTGGTGCTCAATAAGGTGAAAAATAGTCATCATGAAAAGCAGTTTAAAATGCCCTTGGTGAGATGGAAATTAAGCTCTGTCAATCAGCTCTCCTCTTGCCTATTATCTTTTTTTAATGTCTTCCAAGAATTCATAAAAAGGCATTTGAAGAATGATGGTCAGTCCAGTTTTCCAGACGTCTGCATCAGACAAACGGTTCAGTTCAACTGCAGTCAGTTGCGTCAGTATTTTCTAAATCGAGATTAACTTTTCATTCACCTTGGCGTGGAAGAGGAAGGAAAAATGAAAGAGAATGCCTGAGCAGATTACATTTGATGCGAATGCTGTCAAATTAGGGAACTATTACTTCTAGTGAGCTTCCTCCAGCGTAACCAAACCACAGCTCTCTATGCTGATGATGCAGGTGAGATGGTTTATGGATCTGTTCTGACACATCTGTGACTTCAAAATGACCTCAAGAGCATCAGTAAAATGAGGTCATATCCCAGAAGACCTTTTTTTTGGCAACATGCTTGGTGATGTTGGGGAACATGTCCACAGAATAACAGGAAACTTATGACACTTTTTTTTTTTTTCAGTTTTCATACATCATTTACCACAATGCTGACTTTTGTGGAAACATCTCAACTTCCTGTGGGTTATATATATATATATATATATATATATATATATATATTTAAAAAATCCAACATAAAAAAATCAAATGTATACATGAACATTATAATATACATAATTTTTTCTTGAGTGTAATGTGTCATATTTCATTTTTCAGTTTTTTAAAAATAACAATTTCAAACACTAATAACTGCATGAAATTCAATGTTACTCATGACACCAATTATTGTTATAAATAAAAAATCCCTTTAACTGGTGCAGATTTGATGGTTTATTGCATGATGAAAAATTTATTCATGACTTATTTTCCAAAAAGTCATCGAGTCTGCAGATATTAATGTCACTAAGTCATTCACTTATTAAACTCTAAAGTGACAACAGCTCCATCTTACAAACATATGTTTTGCGGCGAGCAGAATCCACATCCACAAGATTTTATTTTACATTCAAGAACGTTCACAGTTGTCATATAGATGCCACTTACTTTACGTCAGATAAAATTTCATGGAAATGTGTGTACAATGAGACAAAAGGCATCTGGAATATTTCCATTTTCTAAAAAAAAGTTTGGGGGTTTAAATATATTTTCTCCCAGAGAGAAAGACCAAAGACCTTTAATGTGGATTAAATTAAGTATTGGATCAAACAGATACAGTTAAGGGACTTTACACTTACTTTAAACCAATTCTTAAAGGCTCATTGCTGATCTATAAAGCATAACTCTATAAATTATTGTATTAATATAGAACTTATTCACAGTTTGTAGCCCCTTTATTCAGGATTCACTGTCAGGAAGCAGTAGGACTATATGTACCACTTCCTATCAGTGGAAATGAAAATGGTTGGTCGAAACTCTTGAGCACAACTAGCATAACACTGCTGTTTTTCTTTTGGAAATGTACGTATAAAATCAATAAATGATAAACTACACATTTCTATACATTGCTTTATTATCACAGTTAAATAAAGTGGTTTTCTGTAGGGCTTCAGTTGTACATTTTCCCTCTGGGAGGGCTGAAAATCTCATGTGGCATCACCAAACAATTTAGGTTCAATTCATTTTCCAGTACACTTATCAATTATTATTTCAACCTGAATAAATGGTGCTTAATAAGCTATATTTTATCATTCAACACAAGGATAAGTTAACTTTGCCAGTCTCAATTATATAAACTGATTAACAATGTTAATAATTACTTTTTTGTGATGATGTGTGATTTTATTACTTTAACTGAGTCTAACTGAATACACTGTAAATCATTTTACTCTTTTGTAAACCTGTAACTGTATTTACATTATGGACATGAGCTGCTGCATTAAAAAATTTTAACCACCAGAGGGCGCTCCTCACTGTGAACACCCCATACCTGTTGAGTCCCCACTTGAGCGCTGATCACGTTCAACAGCGCTCTCTGGTGGTATACTGGTGCATTACACAATAGCTGGCTTCAGACAAGTTGCACTGGAACATTATTCCTTGGCTCAGGCTGCAAGCTGGATGTGGTGGAGGAGGCAAAGGAGCAGTGCATGATGGGACAGAAGGGCTCATGGGTCCTGAGAGTCTCAGTCAGCAGGCGCTGCTCTTCAGACAGAGAATCCACCTGAGGACGAGTCAACAAGCTGATCTTTACTTCATCACTGGGATTATTGTGAATATTTGATCTCCACCAGTTCAGTTTGTTTTCAAATGCTGTTTTAATGGACTTCTATGTCCTACACAAACCACTCTGAATTAAAGGAGATCATCATTGTTCATAGATGAATGTACACTCCTGCAGTAGTCACAGGTGACAGCAGAAGAACACTAACAAGACACAGTGAGGTGTGATCTAATCCCAGCAGGGAGAAATGATGACCAGGATGAATGCACTCTGTAAATAGCCTACCTCTCTCCTCAGCTTCCTGTTCTTCTGCTCCAGTAGCTCACAGGCCTGGAGGAAAGGAGAGGAGAGGAGAGGAGAGGAGAGGAGAGGAAAAGAAAAGGAAAAGAGATAAACATAAAGAGGCTTAAATTGAAGTTAAAATTAAAGTTAATAATAATAAAGTGAAAGTTAATAATGCATGGCAACAAAAAAGTAGGGAGGTTGGCCTGTCAGGTGTGAAGCCAGTTTTGTGAGGTATTTTGTTATAAAAAAAAAAAAAGATCCAGTATGGTGCACCATATATGTTACACAGCTAGCGTGCTACCAATGTTAGCTAGCTGAACATGCTGTCAAACCTGTCACTTCAAAAAAATAAAACTGTAAAACTTTCATTTTTATGCTAACTTCCTGTGGCACGGTGCATGTGGTCTGTCCACAATCTGCCACAAGAGTTACGTTTTTTCAATGTACTCCAGGCAAAAACCAGAAGTAGGGGTTTCGCCAACACATCAGAGATCGCAGAGGTTCTCACAAGACTGAACGGACTTCTGGTTGACTTACGTACGGACACAGAGCCATGTAAAAATGAGGCGCTATCCTGACCTTAAAGGGGGATTCCTGAATTTTGCACAGTATAATTATGTTACCTGCATTCTTGGAACCCATCTGCTATCAGTCTGATGATGATTTGGCCTCTGTGGGCAACAGCTAACATTTCAAGGGGGTTCTAGCGTAGTCAGCGGATATCCAGGCTGAGACTTTATCTTCCATGTGCCAGTTATTGTTTACCCTCCGATTAGCAACTTGAGATGCTATACACACAGTCATGATGCTCTATAAATAGATATCAAGCTAATAAAAAGCTAAACCGTCAAAACATGCTAGCCGATGGGTTCAGACACTGCATTTTAGCCAATGCTTTCTGCCTCCTTTGCTCTCCACATGGACTGTTGACCTGCATCCAACCAAAGCTCGCTCAAATATGATTGGTCAATAATACTCAGACTACAGATGGAAACCAGAACACTTCGGATACCAAATCTTGTCCCATTGCCTACAGATTCAGCTTTCATATGCAGATATTGATTTATAAAAAATATATTACTAGTAATGGGGGACAGTGAAAAAAATGTATAATGTTGCCTTGGCTCTGCAGAAATTCTTTGTTTGAGGAAATAATCCTTGATAATGCCATCTGTGGGTCATCTCATACTACGGAGTTTAGACTAAGCTCGACCAAAATTTAGACCTTGAAATCAAGATATATATCTTTTAAAAAAAATATATAAAGAAACACCACAAAACATCAGTTTTATTTTTGAGTACTCCAGGTTCATGGACGCGTATTACTAATGAAGCACTACGCTTAACCCTGAGTCTAAGGACTCAAGCAGCCATTTGAAGCAGTGAGGAACAGAAAAAATGGCCTCAGTCTCAAGGTAGGCAACTGGTCCTCCTCTCAAAGGTGGAAGTACAAGAGCATGTACAGACAGACAGACAGACGGACAGACCTCATGCAGAATGTCAGCTCTCTGTATTTGTCTCTTCCGGCTTTTTTGGGCGGCAACTCTGTTCTTCTCCCTCCTCTTCAGCCTCTTGCCTTCATCCTCTGGACCCTGAGACACACACACACACACACATTTACTTAGGTGACATTTGGTGACATTGATTTCCTAGAGACTTACGGTAACCCTAACCTCAACCACCTAACAACAGCTTTTTCCCAACTGAGAACACAACTTTTGCCCCTAGTTCAACAAGCCATCCCCAATAAACTGAATCTAGTGTGTGTCCTTGAAGGTAACTTAGGTCATAGCCACACACACACACATACACACACACTATATATATATATATACATATATATATATATATATATATATATATATATATATATATATCTGATAAATATTTTTGAAGTTTTGTTTGCTTTGTTGCAAGAATTCCAATTTAATCTTCATTCGGCTGCAATCAATTAAATCTGAGCCCTCACAGACAATAATTTGTCAACACCTTCCTCTTTCTCTCTCTCTCTCTCTCTCTCACACATACACACACACACACACACACACACACACAAAACAAACTGGATCCTGAGCACTGTGCTGAGAGAGATAACTAAAAGATGCTGGTTTGAACCCTGATGTTTGCTATAGCTTTACAACATCGACCTTTAACCCCCCTGTAGGATAAGTAGCAGGTTGCACCAGATTTAAAAAATGCTTTTCCCTGTCATAAAACATTAAAGACACAATAACACAGCATCAGTGTGATCTTACCTCACATCCTTCACAGAGGTTATTCTTGCTGTTCTTCTGATGAGAATTGCAGGAAGACTCACAGTGTGACATCACAGATTTTTTTTTTTTTTTTTAGAAAGGGTGCATTAAAATAAGAAAAACAGGAGGATATCCTGCACACTCACTCTGCCAGAAAATGAAGTGTTATTTGTGGACTGGGCATCGAGTCCAAGGACGTTTAAAACAAACCACGCAGAAAACAGGCTGTAGTTTCACTTCAGCTTTCTTTTCACTTTTCAATTTCGCTGCCGTTTTAGAAGTAGTGGCGAGGGCTGTTCACATAAGTCATATGACTCGGGGTGCCACAGTTAACTGGAGTACAGTATTTAATGGATTGACCCACATCTTTGATCCATGTTGCAGTGGGTGACATGTTGTGCCATGTCACATACACTGCCATGCTGCTGGAAATACACAGCAGAGCACTGAATGTGTTTTAATCCACAGCTAAAAATAGTCTCACAAAAATGTACTATTTCCTCCTGTTTGTGTCACATCCTCAGTAGGAACCAGTGGGCTGCAGACTGGGTAGACAGGTTGACAAATAGAGGCGGACTAACATGTTTTTTTTTAATGGAATTTGTTGACAAAAAGGAAAACATAGAATAAAGCCAGCTTAATCCTTTACAGAGGGCACAGAACAGATGGAGTGGATTAAAAAAAATGCATTCATTTACAGGTTTTTAGAGTTACCTTTAAATGACAAATATGAACCAACAGGATAGATTTAAATGTTTAAAAACGTAAAGTCTCTGGAAATGTATTTTTATACATTATGAACAGCAACAAAAAAGGAGTCAGTGACCTTTTTAGGACTTTATCCGATTCAGTTTAATCCTAAAAACTACATTTATTTCATTTTTTTTTTCATGAATTCAGGTGATGTGGCAAAATGCTCTGCAAAATCTTCACTTAAAAAAAACTTACAATCAAGACATCTTCTAAACCAGACAAGATTAACGTGGTTTGTGAATGTAAATATGGCAGTTACAACTTATTGTCATACATTGGTGCATGTAATAAGAAAATTTGTTGGTACTCTGTCCAGCAGTATAGTTAAAAAGGGGCCTGCAGCACACCAAAGACAAGCTTTGCGAGTGAAAGGGCAACGAGTATCGTGTTTGCTTCATTAGGCATGTTCACAGTCCAGTCCAGGGACCAATCATGGCCCACAACTTGTCTTTCAAAATATACTTTACATGGCCCACCACCCAATACTTGTCAAACAGGCGAGATCCCTTTGCATTTTTCTTTTCACCTCATGATGTCCGGACTACTGAGTGGTTTTCAGACACACACTAAGTAGGAATTACACAGGTGGAACTAAAGCGTTTTCACAAACAATGGCACACAACAACAGAAATTTCATGGCCACAGCAAAGAAGCAAAAAGTCGACAGCGAGGGCTGCCGAGTGGTGGTGGTGGTGAAAGGTTGAATACTTTTTCACTTGAAGATGAAACAGTTGCATTTATCTCATTTGTGTGTGTGTTTTTAATATGTGATGTGAGAAGCAGCTGGCCCTTAGGTAGTTTCACATTATCAGCTGTCAGTCACTCAAACTATCAAACTAGGCAGCGCTGATCAAATATAAATCAAGATTCTGTTGCTGCGTTGCCTTTTTCATGCTTATTTGCCTATTTCAGAAACATAATTTAGTGCACTGTTTAGCTGTACATTGAGAAAACTTGTGATTAGGCCACCATGTCGGAAACATGTGAGCCGAAACCAAGCAACGCGCAATGGCCAGACCCAATTTCTCATTTTACAGCTAAACAGTACACTAAAATGTGTGTCTGGAAACATCTGAAGCGAGAAACAGGCAATGCAGCAACAGAATTTTGATTCATATTTTATCAGTGCTGCCTGAGTTAACAAGCAGTGACTGACAGCTGCGTTAGAGACTCCTCGGCTCTGATTGGCTGTTTTTGGTAGTAGATTCTAGCAAATGCCATTAGAAGCAGGAGGAAGAGGAGGAGGGAAGTGATTTTTTTTTTACAGGCTGTCTGTCTCATGAGCTTCTTTCAGAATAAAGTGAAAGTTTCAGCAAATATGACAAAAGCTATTTTCATAGACAAATAAACATGTTAAAGGATTTTTCTTTGTTATTATAGTAATGTCTCAGCATAAATATTATGTACATGTCTAAATGTGAGACATGGAACCTTTACTGTGCATGTTGGAGAAAATCTTTCGCTATGTTTAAAATGAATAAACCTCAAGAGTCATTTTTAAATCCTGCTTTCTATTCTTTAAAAAAGGCTGAAAAACAACACACACATAACATCAAAACATCTCTGCTGTTCTGTGGTTATGGTAGCAGGAAGTGTCACTCAGGCTTGCCCTCTCCCACGGGTTTCTTACTGAGGGGCCCATAGCAGCTTGCGGCAGCTGCTTCCTCTACGGCTCTCTTGATTGGCTGCCTGTTCCTCGTGGCTCCGTTCACAGGAGGCAGGAGGGCATCCGATTGGCCGTTGAAACCAAACACTTCTCGGTGGATCTCCAGGGTGGCGTGGCTCGGTTTCATGTTGAGGATCTCACAGAGGCCTTCGGCTTGTTTCTGCAGAGTGTTGATTGACTAAAGAAAAAAAAAACATACACATGTCAATAATGCATCTATATATCCATCTATAAAACTGGTTTGGTGTGTTCAGGTGTGTGTGTTACCTTTATGACCTGGATAGCCTGTTTCACCATGCCAGGAGCTGCTGCTGACAAATTGCTCATGATGCTCTCTGGTGAAACACACAAACAAAAACAGCATAGTTACAGTGGGTCAACTAACTAGCTGTGTCTGGTTTAGTTTGTCTGTCTGCTGTCAACACCTCACTTAAGGTCTTCCTCTCTGCCTCCAAAGTGACTGTCAATACAGTAATAGATTTCCTCTGGGGGGTGCTGACCCCCACTAACACCCACAAGGACTTCCAAAGGCTTTCAAGCATAGACTTATAGAGAAGTAGCTCTCAAACTAAAAATGTCTGTGTGCATGTGTATGACTGATTAGAGGTGACAACCTTGATCAGGGTCTTTGACCACCTCTTGAGGTTTGACTGCGTGCTCATACAGCTTCTGAAAAACAAACACAGATGATGTCAGAAAAGAGGACACAAAACACATCAGCTCTGGATGCTGCTGATGCTTCAACTGTTGTTTTCTCTTGAGGCACTTCCATGTTTTTCACCTTGATCAAATGGACTTCCTATGAAGGATAATTAAGTTAAACCTGTACTGATTTGAGTTTTGCTGCCTTTTACCTTATTATCAACACACAGTATATGTAAAGTTGATCCCAACAGTGATGTCAGTCTGAACAGCAATCTGTGAAATGATGGATAACTGTTTATTACTTCCATTGTATGTTTTTAAGATGAGACTGTGGTCTATTGTCTCTGTAAAGTGCACTTTTCCTCCCACTCAGCTGGGCTTTTTCCTGAAACTGAGCTGTCAGTGTGTTTCAGGTCCCACAACTTCCACGCACTTCTATGACACCTCCTCTTGCGTATCTGGTGTGCTTGTGATTTTCTCCTCCCCTTGCAGGGAGTGGGCTAGCAGTGCAGGTCGCTCCTGAGCCAACTCACCTAGGCTGATGAGCTGGCAAGCCTAGGCTGCCTCAGTCTCTCTCAGCTCTCACATAGTCTCCTGGTTTGTTTGCTTGGTTTTGTCAACTTCTTTTAGCATATAACATCTTCATACCCTATTTTCCACTAACCCTGATACTCACACACACCCCTGATGTTACAGATTGTTCATCTTATTCATTTGTTTTTCTACTGCAACACAGATTGAATTGATTTAAAGGAAGTATTGCATCTCATTTCTCAACGGGGTCCCACACCCACCATGAGTTTACGCTCAGCTTTGAGGGAGTGGACCACATGCGGCAGGATCTGTTTTGGGTATGTACGGCGCCTCCTGGTGGTCTCAACAATGGTGTCATCCAGCAGGCTTTCCAGATCAGCAGCCTCGTCTTCTGCTGAATGTGTGAGAGGAGAAATAAACACATGTAATTTATCAAATAGAGGTTTATTTTAGATAACATGAATTTAGGAAACTCTTGTTCCCAGTTAAGTATGTAATGTAAAATTAGAATTTAAAGTGGCATTAGTAAATCACCTTCAACATCAGGTGCCTCCTCCCAAGGCTGTCCGTTCACCAACACATTGTCTTGAACCGCCGCCTCAAAGTTCTGCACAGATACAAATACTTTCACTACTGAAGACAGCTTTAACAAACAGTACAGCCATCAGCAGTTCACCAGAAACAAAGTGTCCGTAATACAGCTGCAATACATTATAAACTGTATCTTACTTAATGCAAATTTTTCAGGCTGCAACTACGGCATTATTTATCATTGTTAATTAATCTGCTGATAATTAATTTTTAATTAATATTTGGATGATAAAATATCAGAAAATAGCAAAATCCCTGTTTTATAAAGCTCAAAGTGATGCCATCAAATGTTGTGTTTTGTCTGACCAAGAGTTCAAAACTCAAAAGTACTGGATTTAAGAAATATTTGCAGTTTTGCTTAAGATGTTTGTTTATTATTATTATTATTATTATTATTATTATTTACTGTCCAATATCTGTACACTGTGAAACATCATACAGAAATCTGATGAAAACAACTACTCATATGTCATTAACTTGAAGTAAATTTTCATTTTATTAATTTAAAATGTCGAGTTTTCATTTTTAAAACTGCTCAGCATTTCTTGAAATGGTGAGTTCACAACAGAAACACATAACATTTAACCGTTGTGTGTTTACCCAACGAGCTGGCCAGCCTACATTAAAAAGTAAGGTTTTATTTCATTTAAATAAATAGCAGCCCTCTATACATTTAAGCCGAAATTACCACTTGATCTCAACAAATCTTAAAGTGGTATTAAATAGTGTTTTGTTCATGTGAGTATTAACGTTGTCAGCAAAGCAGATATTAAATAGAACATTTTCGGCTGGGATTTGGTGTGGTATTCTCTAAGTCACAGAGACAATTCTGAGCCCTTGTGCTGACAGAAGTCTTTATGAAACAACGCTCAGCGGTCTGTTTTGTCTTGACAGAGACAGTTTGATACTCCATGAATTGTCTAAATGTAAGGTTGTTAGTAACATTAAGGTGTAAACATTCAGTCAGACTCACCGCCAGCAGCTCCTGCAGTAAAACTCGCTTCGTCTCTTCCGCGACGTCCTCCTGCCCGTGAAGAGCCGTCTTTAAAATGTCTTTGTATTTGTTAATCTGCTCTATGACTTGTTTCTTCGACGTTACTTGAACTCTGTACTCCTGGTTTGTTTCATCACTGGGTACGAGTTCACTCTCTGCGGGCTCCATCTTTACCGCCAACTTTGTTTATATTTTTTTGACGCAAACCGGAAGTGAGTATAACATCCTGGTCCGTCTGCTAATATTTACCCCCCCCGGAACAACACTCCTAGCGTCGCAGGAGAGTTCTGCCTCGCTGCTAAAACTATGTTTACGAAGACAAAATGGATAAATATCGCAGTTTTTCGATATAGTTTGTGCTCTTAGCTCTTATTATTATTATTTTTTTAATGGAGTATGGCTTCGTCGACTGTCACTGTCATATATCAGCCAGTGAGTTTGAAGAGGTGAGCACCAAGTTAACTGTCCAACATTAACATTACATTTAAAAGTATTTGGGCCTCTATAAATCCATCGCAGACTACAAATACATTGAGTATAAGTGTTACAAATATTCATATTTCAAAATTAAAGCTTCTTGTACGCCACAACATTTATAACACCTACTGTTGTCTGTCACAGTATCATTACAGTTATTTGCTTCTTTTTTCTCAACTTAATTCATTAAATATGTAGTTTTTGTTATTTTTATCATTGCTTTGCCACTGTGCAAACATTTTTTTGTCTTTGCAGGATCTGGAGGATGTGATCCAGAGGACCACTCAGGTAAGCTATTAATTCATCTGCACAAGACAACAGAAATTTATCACAAACACCATACTGCAGTGCTGGACTGAGCAATACGGCTGAAATCAACACAGTTATATTTCATGGTTGTTCACTTATGTGCAACAGACTGTGTAACAAGATCTTAATATCCTGATAGTACCATGATGGATATGAAGCCATGCTGACCCATTGATCTATGAAAGAAAAGAAGATGAGCAGTGTGTGTGTGTGTGTGTGTGTGTGTGTGCGCGCGCGCGCACGTGTGATCGCAGGCCGGGGTAAGGACTCTGGTTGCAGTTACAGAAGAAGTCAGGGAGTTTGACAGAGTTCTCCAGCTGCAGGAAAGGTCTGTATGTCTTCACTGTTATGTAATCTGTCCTATAGTGTCTCATAACCTTAAATTATATAGTGTGCTTTATAGGGAAGGGACAAAGGACTGATGCAGTAAAAGCATAAAACCCAGAAAACTATAACTTAAGCAGAAATTCACATTTTGATAATACGGTTGGGAAGTTTTAAAACTATTATATAAAATCAGGGGGAAGAAATGCAAACTACAGATTTGTGCAGATAACATGAGTTTAAAACAGCAAGGACCTCATGACAATATGTCAGACTGGTGCATAGTAAAAAAAGAAAGTCAAGCTAACAGTATCCCGAACAAAAAACATATCCATGTTCAGATCTTTTACGAGAGCAAAACATTAAAGGAAGACAGCGAAAAACACAAAACCTCAGCATGAAAATAAATCACATAAAAGAAACAAGCAACAAACTTAGAACGAGTAGCAAATTACATCAAACAGTGATTTAACAGTCTTTCAGTAACAGGACGTGTGTTCAGTGGTCAAATAGTCTTAAGTCCTGTTTTTATAATTTTCCCTGCTCATTAAATACAACATAATCTAATTATTAAATTAAGGAATAAATGAAAGGGAATACAATATTTCCTCTGCTAAATCTGTGTTTAAGGAAAATTTCACAAACAAAAAGAGGATATTCAGGTATAATGCTGCCCTACAAAGGCTAACTGCAGTTATGCTGTAATAGAGAAAATGGTTTCAAAGTTTTTTGACTGTCCATCCAAACGTATTGTAGGTAGAAAAGTGTAAATGCATTTATTAAATAGGTATTCATAAATAATTTTTAATGCATAAAAACAATGATCAATGATTTGACCTATGACCCCAACAATGCACTAAAATTTCAGTTACTGCATCCTGCATTTCTATCACCTTTAACAGCTACATAGGTAATGCAAAGGCAAAGAACATAATTACAACTTCAGTGTTTTACCTTTTTTAGTATGAGGAAAACTGTTCTCATTTCTCACCAGCTTCGGTTCGTATTTGTTTCATTTATAGATGTGTGTTTTAAAAGCAGTAACAGAAAGATGTACCTAAATTAAGCTTATTTGACATAATCATCATCATCATCGTTGTCATATCACTGATCTTGCTGTGGTCATTGTCAGGTTATTTTGTTGTTGGCGTCATCCTCATACACACGTTCACCATTAGCTGTAATATGCTCACCGCCATTGTAGTGACTAGCCTATACATTAGCCGCTACTGGTTGCTAATTGGTTGAATTGTTTGGATGTGTACTCAGAGAATTACTCCCAATCTTAACCAGTGCTGTCGACCATCATTCGTTTATTTTCTCTCAATAGTCCAGAATGTCCATATAACTTCCAGTACCTTTAAACACAAACTTCACTTAACAACAGCCATGTAATTTTACTCCGAGCACAAAACTGTTTGCCTCCTTACATCAGCAACACCTGTGCTTACTGGGAGGAGCTTAAATACCATGGCTTGTCTCAGCCTGTGATATAAGCCACCTAGTGGTGTGGTGGGATAATACATTTCACTGGCCCAGTAGGAGCCCAAAACCCCAGGAACCCAAGGCAGAGCACAGTGACTAAATTTACTGCTATTTGCGTTGGGGTTTGGTTGGATTTTGTAGTTGCTACATGTTTTACACCCTATTTTCTCTGGAAGAGAACAAGATTGAACCAGGAAATTTTGTCAGTTCAGTCATAACTCAATTTTGACCAAAATTATAGTTACTCTGGTGTGCATGCAATTGTTTTTCTTGGTTTGTCTAACTCCCTCATAGACACACAAACATTTATACATTGTATACATTTAAACTACAGAAATTCTAAAAGCTAATTGTATATTTTGCATATTAACTCACAATTAACTGTAGTAACTGCACCTATTGGATAAATATAGGCAAAAGTATTTAGTATTACTGAAAGAAAATATTAAAGTACAGTGCCTGAAGCTCCGAACTGTACAATCAGTAAGTGTAGAACTTTTGTAAATGTACTTGCTCACTGAAGTCACAGGTGCACAATGTATAGGATAAAAATGTTTCCATTGTCTCGCAGCGCTGCTCCCAGCTGGATCACACTCTATTTATTATTCAGGGTGTTACTGTCGGATTCTTTTCTCACAGTTATCCAGATCTGGTGGCTCCATGTTTCGGCCTTCATCCACTGCAGGGTGGCGGGGGCCCCGAGCAGCGCAGTGTGAGGCCTCAGGTAATAAAACAGTCTGCGCCTCATCTATCTTTTGATTGTGTTACTCAACAGATTCAGAGAGTAACTGTACCCAGGCTGGTCAGTGGTGTCCCAGCTGGGGAAAACAGGAGGTGAGGGAGTTCAGAGTGTGAGACAGAGGGAGGGAGGGAGGGAGTGTTTCTGAGGCCTCTGGAGGAGATAAAGGTGTATTTGTTGTTTTATTAAGCTATTACTGAAAGTACAAAAATATGTATATTTCTCATAGTAGCTTTGATTTAACATTTTAAAGTATGGGCTTTGATGTTGTTGAAATAGGGAGTTGTTTCTCAAATCTGGTCCTGTTTTGAGTTTTAAGTTTCATCTTCTACATTGAATAATCCAGCAGCAAAACTTGGCAGCCTACATTTAATCATTTCCAATATCTTGATAGTGTGTTGAAGCAGGTCAGCTGAGCCAGGATTAACTCTAGTGTTCTGATTGATGGAGCTACTGACAGGGTACACTTATACAGGCCTACTATAGAAGCACAAAGTAGAGATAAGCTCACAAAAAATCGCCATAATTTTTTATTTTCACTGTGATTTTTACGTCTACATGCAGCCTAAAGTTATTATGTTTTACTGCTGCAAGAAAAAGCTGTTCAGTCTTCACCAGTTCCCAGAATGAAAAGAAAAATGTGGAAAAAATCCAATCAATCTGCTTTAGAGTTTCTAAAAAGTGCCCAAAACAAAACTAATTTATACAAGAGAGAGAAATAAAATGTAATTAAGATGCAAATGGCCTTTTTTAAAAGTAGGTTTAATACATTCACATTTGTTTATTTCTAGAAAATGACTGAAGATAAGTAAGAATTCTTTCTGTCTGTAGCTGCACAGCCATTTTCTATAATACACTTTCCACATAGGACAGACAGCCTGTCACATGTAAGAGGTTAAACAGCTGCTGTAGGATTAAAACACAAAAGAATCTTGTGGTTCTTAATGAAGATTTATATCCCACAGGACCTGGATGCTGCCCTGCTGCAGTTCTACAAACACAAAGAACGCATCGTCGCTATCGGAGAGGTAGACTGCACACAAACTCTCGTTGGACCTTTATACTGAACTCTTCTTACTTATTCCCATTTCTACAACCGGCTTGATACAACATACTTGACACACTGTGATACAATGCATGCTTAGCCCCTTACTGTCACCTTAACCTAATCCTTCTTATCTTGATTCAAGTCTTAACTGTCAAACAGTCCTTCAGAGGAGTGAGGACAGGACAAAATGTCCTCAGTCTCAAGGTCTAACACTCAAATTGTTCCTCACAAGGATACCAGGTCAAGTGCAAACTCACACACATAATACACACCACCATTTCACACACATTGTTGCTTCTGTTGTATTCCAAGCGAAATCTAAGGTTCGTCCTATTTACTGGAGTAGTGAACAACATTTGCATTGCATAAGAATCTTATGGGATGGTAATAATTATTCCAGATGTTGATCAAACTGGAAGGCGTTACCAGGGTAACTGAGTTATGGCCTGTGAAAAACTTAATATAACTTATTAAAGAATGGACTTATTTTTTTTCTTAGGTGTATGACCATGGTATAAGCAGAATAATGTCCTTAGAAGTGTCCGTAATAAGTGACTGTCACCTTACCTAGTACACACACACACACACACACACACACACACACACACACACACAGCTGCCTTTAATGTGACTTCTACTGAAGTAAAGCAGATTAAACTAGTTAAAACTCTCATGTCAACTCCCACCCTTTCTCATGCACTTACACAATCACACACACACGCACACACACACACACACACACACACACACTTCATCCTGCGATAGTCTCTCATGCTGCCTGTTGAGGAATGTGTGTGTTTGTCAGAGCAGATTTCAGGCATCACAGGGCTAAGTCAACAGTCCCAGAGTCCCGTTTCCATAACTGTTATTTTTATGGATCGTGTTGGCACAGCGAGTCCCCCTCCTTGCTGCACTGAACACATTGTAGTTCATCCACGAGTCTATAACCACTTTTCTACATGTGTTTTTACCTCAGCTGAATTTTTCTTCTCTGCAGCAGAGCGGTCGACATGAGAAACTTAAGTCACAAAAATAAGAGTCTAGGCTTGACAGATTTTGTGACAGATTTGCCTTTTGAAATGGACTTGACTTAAGCGCTGTGAGAACTCACTCACCTGAGACTTGATACTCTGAATGACTTGGTTTGACTTGAGACTTAAAAGCAAAAGTTTGGACTTGTAAAACTTTTAACTTATAATTAAATATTAATAATTAAAAAAAAGACAGTTAAGTGTCTCCGACTGCACTGGACAGGAACGTTTGAGCACTTTGTCATTTAAATAAAACAAGAACAATGATGCGACCCTGACAGTGTTGCTAAGGGCTCTTGGAATATGATAATTAATGTTGTTGTCTACTCGTTTCCAGATTGGCTTAGACTTCACGCCATGGTGTGCTCCCACTCAGGAAGACAGAGACGACCAGATGAAGGTCTTCATTAAACAGCTCAACATTGCCAAGGAGCTGGACCTACCTGTGTGAGCACAGTAGAATAGAGACACTAATATTATACTAAGGAATAGTATGGTCTTTGTGTGTGTAATTGAATATCTGTATTTTCTGTAGTAGGACTTTGATTTATCCGCATGACTCCCTACATGTTTGTACATTTACTTTCTCCAGTATTGGAGAGCAGCAGCACCCAAAGTCATCACCACACTTAGCACACAGAGGAGGTTCAGTCCTGCCTTGCAGCTGTACTGTGGTCTCTGTACAGGCTCAGTCAGCAGGTTGAATATAGACTACAGCTGCATCTTTTCACCTCTATTTTACTGATTGTCCTGCAGCTGAATCAGGAAGGCTGGTTTGACTGCATTTGAACCTGATTTGCATAGAAGCATCTGATAAGAAAAAGTGCTTCCACCACTCAGCAAACTTTGTGCCATGATAATGATTATACAAGCGCTGAGTGATGACAGGTCATGATTGACAGGAAAATCAATGGGTGGAAAAGCAATATAATAACAATATATTCAAAATTCCCCCCCCCCCCCCAAAATAACAAATCACAGGGATTAATAAACGACAGCAGTGACCATGTCCTTTTTTGCTTCCTGTTTCTGCACAGAAACGTCCACTCACGATCAGCTGCTAAGGTCACCATAGCAACCATGAGAGAGCAAGGTGGGTGTCTCGTTTCATTGTGTCTTTTTGTATATTCATATGGCTGCTAAAACAGACATTTGGACATCATGAGTTCCTGATTTTCCGTCAGCTGTCAGTCGAGCTCTGCTTCATAACTTTGCGGGGAAGCCGTGGGTAGCTCTGGAAGGTGTGAAGGCGGGTTTCCTCTTCTCCTTCCCACCTGCTGTCTGCAGGAACCACCAGGTAGGTGTGGATTCACACCTCTCATTGGTTTGATCATTTTGGAAAGAAAGCAGATTAATTGTTTTACAAGCCAAAGAAGTAGGCATTTTGAGCCCTGTGGTCCGTTATTAATGCTGCACTAAGATATATTTTATGATTAACATTTATGGTTACATACAGTACAGGCCAAAAGTTTGGACACACCTTCTCATTCAATGCGTTTTCTTTATTTTCATGACTATTTACATTGTAGATTCTCACTGAAGGCATCAAAACTATGAATGAACACATGTGGAGTTATGTACTTAACAAAAAAAAGGTGAAATAACTGAAAACATGTTTTATATTCTAGTTTCTTCAAAATAGCCACCCTTTGCTCTGATTACTGCTTTGCACACTCTTGGCATTCTCTCCATGAGCTTCAAGAGGTAGTCACCTGAAATGGTTTTCCAACAGTCTTGAAGGAGTTCCCAGAGGTGTTTAGCACTTGTTGGCCCCTTTGCCTTAACTCTGCGGTCCAGCTCACCCCAAACCATCTCGATTGGGTTCAGGTCCGGTGACTGTGGAGGCCAGGTCATCTACCGCAGCACTCCATCACTCTCCTTCTTGGTCAAATAGCCCTTACACAGCCTGGAGGTGTGTTTGGGGTCATTGTCCTGTTGAAAAATAAATGATCGTCCAACTAAACGCAAACCGGATGGGATGGCATGTCGCTGCAGGATGCTGTGGTAGCCATGCTGGTTCAGTGTGCCTTCAATTTTGAATAAATCCCCAACAGTGTCACCAGCAAAACACCCCCACACCATCACACCTCCTCCTCCATGCTTCACAGTGGGAACCAGGCATGTGGAATCCATCCGTTCACCTTTTCTGCGTCTCACAAAGACACGGCAGTTGGAACCAAAGATCTCAAATTTGGACTCATCAGACCAAAGCACAGATTTCCACTGGTCTAATGTCCATTCCTTGTGTTTCTTGGCCCAAACAAATCTCTTCTGCTTGTTGCCTCTCCTTAGCAGTGGTTTCCTAGCAGCTATTTGACCATGAAGGCCTGATTCGCACAGTCTCCTCTTAACAGTTGTTCTAGAGATGGGTCTGCTGCTAGAACTCTGTGTGGCATTCATCTGGTCTCTGATCTGAGCTGCTGTTAACTTGCGATTTCTGAGGCTGGTGACTCGGATGAACTTATCCTCAGAAGCAGAGGTGACTCTTGGTCTTCCTTTCCTGGGTCGGTCCTCATGTGTGCCAGTTTCGTTGTAGCGCTTGATGGTTTTTGCGACTCCACTTGGGGACACATTTAAAGTTTTTGCAATTTTCCGGACTGACTGACCTTCATTTCTTAAAGTAATGATGGCCACTCGTTTTTCTTTAGTTAGCTGATTGGTTCTTGCCATAATATGAATTTTAACAGTTGTCCAATAGGGCTGTCGGCTGTGTATTAACCTGACTTCTGCACAACACAACTGATGGTCCCAACCCCATTGATAAAGCAAGAAATTCCACTAATTAACCCTGATAAGGCACACCTGTGAAGTGGAAACCATTTCAGGTGACTACCTCTTGAAGCTCATGGAGAGAATGCCAAGAGTGTGCAAAGCAGTAATCAGAGCAAAGGGTGGCTATTTTGAAGAAACTAGAATATAAAACATGTTTTCAGTTATTTCACCTTTTTTTGTTAAGTACATAACTCCACATGTGTTCATTCATAGTTTTGATGCCTTCAGTGAGAATCTACAATGTAAATAGTCATGAAAATAAAGAAAATGCATTGAATGAGAAGGTGTGTCCAAACTTTTGGCCTGTACTGTAGTTAGGTTAAGCCTTCAGGGATTATACTGTATGTTAATGCCAAAAATGACTGAAGTTAATATGTGTATATGTAACCAAATATGTGCATACATCATCATCAAAATGATCTTTGGTCTCACACGAATGATCAGCTGCTGCATGTGTGCAATAGAAACATCTCCGTCTGCATTTCTGTTAAATCCATAAAACTTAAAGTGAACTTTGGCTCATCTGCAGTCATATAAAATGTACAGATGCAGTAGAGTATGTTCTCAAAGGAAAAAAAATCACTACCAACTTGTGTGACAGCTTTTAGCCTTGGTCACTAAAGGAAATGGATGATAGTTTCTCTTAAGGTAACAGTCGGATCAGCAGAAGGTCTAAAAGAGGCCTCGAGGTCAGGCTACTTGACCGTTGTTATGAATGCACTCCATCTATCCTCTCCCAGTTGTGGCGGGGGGAGTACAGCTGCCCAGATAAGGGTGCTTAGCCGGCTCTGTTGCCATAGCTCCCAAGGTTAAAGGGAAGGGAGATTGCCCTGTGCCCCACGCACAACAGACAAGAGCCTCTTTTTAGATATGTGCATTTTTTAAGAGACAGTAGAGGTGATTTAGAGCGAGCCAGGTGAGTGTGTTTGTTGTAGAAACTTCACGTAGCCACAGATTGGGACAGATAACTTTATTAGGGAACGTGGAGCAGCTCACAAGGGAACACTGTTTGGGTTAAATACAAGAACTGGGCAAGGACACCCTTAGAATCTGTGGACGGCATACACAGTGTTACACTCTGTGTGTTGAGCTGGGATTCTCCTCGGTCGAGTCTTCATTACATACTGTGTGTGATCCATCAAAGTCTCCCAAGGTCTTCTTCAGCTATTAAAGCATCAGCTCTGAATTCCTTCAACAATTGAGGGTGCTAGTTTTATCACTTGGATGGAGAATGGAAGTAGAAGAGTGATTATTGGAGAAGTATTAGCAATACTAGTAAGTAGTGATGATTAGAGTAGTGATTAAAAGTTTTAAACAGAAGTGTTAGTTGCAGTATAAGCAGTACTATTTGTGGTAGCAGCACTAGTATTTGTACACTACCACGTTTAAACACTTCATACGTATCATATAAGTGTTTCTGAAGTGATGTGGTTGTGATTAGATGTATAAGACCTAACTTTGTCATCAGGAGAAGGAGGAGATGGTGGATGGCGTGACACCAAAGTGAGACAGCTGCCAAGCTCTAGACCACTGTTTGAGACAAACAAATAAAACTGGGTGTCTTTAGCGAGACATCAGTGGCATTTACAGCCATGATTGTGGTGCTAAATCTGGGTATTTTAAGCCAAAACATGAGCATCTCCTAACCATAATCAAGTGATTTTTGTGCCTAAACATAACAACACATTAACTGCAGCATTGTTGAAATGTAATGAAGTGTAAAGTTTCAACATACCGCTACATGTTTGCAGAAACGTACAATGCCAACATTTATTCTGGCTGTTGGGTTGCAGTATTAGTAGCGATAATAATTGCAGTAGCATAGCATATTTTTCTTTGGCAGCATGTTGGCTGTAGTGGAAGATAGAGGGTAAATCTGCAGTACTGACTTCAGCTGCATCAGGTCATTATAATAAGTGACACATTTTAATACTACAGAGAGACAAACTGATCAAGCAGATCCCACTGGAACACATCTGTCTCGAAACTGACTCTCCTGCGCTGGGGCTCGACAAGCATGTAAGTTTAAAATGATCAAAACTTATCATGTTTAAATAAATGTAGAATGTGGAAACAGTTTTATTTTCTTGTCTTTCTGTGTCTCAGGTGAGAAACGAGCCCTGCAACATCACTCTGTCCTGCCAGTACATCGCTGATATCAAAGGTCTGTCACCAGAAACTGTTCAGCTCGTCACTGCGCAAAATGCACACAGACTTTTCCCCAAGGCGCTAATGCATGGACAGGTTTCTGAAAAGCAAAGTTTGAGCTGAAGGTGGCGCCAGAGGCAACTTTAATTAGAAAAGATTCATGCTCTGTTTGGATAGGTTAGCATTGTATCACTATAGGCAGTTGGACTCAGCGGCGTCCTGAGCTTAATGCTAACTTTAGCATGCTAACAATTAGTTTTAGCACTCATTTACAATGTTGCTAATGATAGCATGTTAGCATACCATATTAGCATTTAGCTTAATGTACAGCAGGGCCTGACAGGGATTTAGTCATTAGTTTTTGAGGTATTTCATGAAACAAACTGTTGCACATAATGGACGTTTGACCTGCTAGGGGATCAAAGTAAAACAATAATATTAATAATAATAAGTCATCAGTAATTCATCCTGATTAAGGATGGTTGCTACTCTAATACAGGTTGAGATATTTCACTCTGGACCAGTTTTCTGGACTAACAGACAGACATTAAATCAAGTTTCATACAGGCTGTTTTTTTTTAAAGACAGGTGGAAACAAACACACTTGTCATCAAACATGAGTTATACGAATACTACACCTGATTATATTATTGTATTATGGTGTATTGTGTTAGAAGAAATAAAACACTGGAAGTCAATGTAAGGTCCCATTTATACTTGTTGTATTAGTGTGTGAGGTCTCGTCAGGCTGTATCCGTCTACACCAGGTGTGATTCATCTGAAAGAGAAGAAAAGAGACATTACAGAAAGTTCAAATAGTTTTGTTGTTTAACATTTCTGTGAGATTAATATAACATAAACCACCCTGACCAAAATAATCAGAAATAATTTCATTCTGTTGAGTGAAAACAAAAGTCACCCCGCAGGGCATGGTCAGGCTGACTGCTTATACATTTGGCTTTATGAACTATGCTTCTTCCATAATGAACTCTTTAAGCTGGACTCCAGTAATCTTGGAGCAGACCTTGATAATGCTGTTGAGACTGTTTTTATCTTTCACTGACAGCCCATTGAACCAACATACAAATGAAAATGTTTCTATAAAAGAATGATAAAAGTTACTTAAAATAACTTTAAAAACACAACAAGAGTTGAGCATCATCAGCAAATGGATTCTTTGTTGTCCTCTCTTAACGATTGATTCAGTATTTGCGTCAAATTTAAGCTGATTGTCAAAAAAATGATGGCTTGGGACATGTGACCATTTCAAGTTTAGTAATAAATCTTCCATCTTCCATTATTATTGACTTACACTAAGCTGCATACAGGAGCTGTTTTAAAACAGCTGAATTCTTAATGTCCTTGTAACGTTCTGGTTCAAGAAAAGGAATTTGTTATAGTCCAGCTCGCCTACAGGGTGAGGGTACTAATGATTTACGTTTTACAGAAACTAACTTTCAAAACTCATTTTTTCTGAACTAATTAAAAAAATACATCATTCTACAAAGAAGCATAAATATCACAGCATGGCTTTGAGTTCTGTCATGAAAAATGCCTGAAATCATGGGTGGATTATGAGACAATGGGCCGCCGGGTACAAATATGCAAAAGGACCCACCACCTCTCCTACACAGAAGCAAGCCACACAGATTTGTGTCTCTTGAAGGTGTATTTGTATCTTGTTGGTCATTTAATGTCTCTTTGTAGTTCCTTTGCATCTGGTTGTGGTTGTTTTGTGTCTCTTTGAAGTACATTTGGGTCTCTTTGAAGTCAAGGTGTGAATCTTTGAGGTCATTTAGTGTCTCTCTAGGGTATATTTGTTGTATTTTGTTTGCTTTGTGTCTCTTTGTTGTTCCTTTGTATCTGTTTGCCAACTTTTTTGCCCTTTGAAGTCATTTTGTTCTTAAAAGGTTGTTGTTTTGTGTCTCTTTGTGGTCATTTCATGTCTCTTTGAGGTCGGTAGGCCTTAATTTGAATTTCCAAATGACCAAGGGGGGCCCTGACACTTTGGCCAATGGGCCTGTGCCAGGTATGCCCATCCAGTAATGTTCAATCACTGGAAATATAGATAATATAAAAATTAAAAAATACCATGATGAACTCAAGACCACCCGCCCTGCAGGTAGGCTATTAATTATGGATTTAATTAAAGTAGCCTAATTGACACACTTTGCGAGGAACCACACACACTGTAGCTTCCTATGCAGACATTAGCTCTACAGGAGTCCGTAAAATCTCCAAACAAGCTTTCTTACAGCTCTCCTCGTAGTGCCTCCTCTCTGGAAGCTTGACGGGCGGCGGTCGCTCGCTGCAGGCCGCACTGCGCTGCGGTCCGGCGGTCAGAGCGGTGAGAAGGACTGGGCTGGTCCGCAGGTGACTCCGGTAATGTCTCCTCTCGGTCCTCTCCCAGGACTGCCGGGGGTTCATCTCCACCTGACACCACGTCTCCCTCCGCAGGTTCAGCTCCAGCAGAGTCCGCTCTGCACACTCGGACATTATGTTTTTAGGGGGCGTTTTTCCTGCTGTAAATTATCCAAAGTGTAGTCAGTTTCTGATGCTGCCGTTTCCATGGCAACGGGAAACTTGAAGAAGCGTGTCTGCGCGTCCCAAAGATCTTTTATGTTTGGAAAGAGGAGTTACTCTGAGGAAAGTTTAAAGTACAGCCTGGAGTTTATTACTGCCTTTGTCTTTTCTTTAAATCATTTGGAGCTTTGACACTGTTAATTTTTATTTCAGCATTTTTGCCATCTTTTGGTTACCGTTTGCTCTTCTTAAAGTTATTGAGAAAGAAAGGTGAAAAAAAGCTATGACTGTTTTTCCTTTTAAAATACAGACTGAATATACCCAAAATCATACTGCAATGTCTCATATGCCATAGATGTTTTAACACAAAATATCTCCTTACAGCCTACTCTTTGAAAACAACATTACTAACTCTGTTGACATAGCCTATCCATTAATGTGGTATCTTTTAGTATAAAAGAAACGTTTTCCTGCAGGAAAGTGGTTGTCATGTGATAATGTGTGTAGTAGCCTATTAATGGCCAATATGGCAGGATTCATCACGCTATTAGAGTAAATTAGTTTTTTCCTCTTGGTACCTGAAAACAGTGACAGAGTGAGACCTCACTTCACACATTCATCTTTTCTAATACCACAGTAACACTGGAGTCAGAGGTTATGTGTTACCTGATCTTCCTGAGAACACCTACATACAACAGAGGGTCAGGTGCAAACAGTAATATTTGTTGTAGCCTCAGTGGAACAGGACTGTACAGATCATTTTGTTTCCTTTCTAACAAATATCTGTCATTTAATGCTATTTAAATATTTATACCAGCCTTTTATTGTGGTCTTTGATGTCCTACTTTGGGCTTTCCATTCAGATGTTAACAGTCATTTATAGAATTTTTCTCAAGAAATCTCAGACTATGAAACACAATGGAAAATTGTGTTCAATTTTAAAATGTCAACATTTAGTGGCATAGAAATTGTGCACCATAAATCAGAGAGTATAGCTTCAAAGAGGAAATTAAATTATATTAGACTTTTTTACCTTTATTGACAGGACAGAGGGTGAAATGGGGAGACAGAGAGAGAGTGGGGACTGACATGCAGCAAAGGGCCGTAAGCCGGATTCAAACCCGCAGCCGCTGCAGCGAGGCAGTGCCTCTGTAAATGGGGCGCTAGCACTATCCACTATGCTACCGACGCCCCTGACTTCCAGTGTTTTAACTTCTTACAGTACCTTGCTGCAGTGATGTAGAAGTGCTTTCCGGGGTGTTAGTACACTGTGACATCACCATGTGGTGTGGCTGTGGGTGAAACAAGTGATTTCAGGTATAAAATGTAAGTGTCTGCTTTATCATGGTTAACTGACCCTGACCTTATACACTGCCAGGCTTGTGAGAGGAGCTCCAGGCTGTCTTCAGGAAGATTATGAGACATTATGAGACAACATTCAACAAGATAGGCAGCAAAATGTAAAGTTGCTCTTTAATGTTAGATTAGACCGTGGCTGCCAGCATTTTAATGTCAAAAATCACCATATTTAAGTCACAGGTTTCACTTTTTTGCTCACATATTGACAAAACAGCAACATTTCTGTATAATAAGCATGCATTTCTTGTGAGATCAGACTTCTACCTGCAGCTTGTACCCGCTGCACTGGAGTGCCACTGGGTCAAACGATGATTAGGATTAGAGCAGATAACAGCCTGAGCACATGGTCAAGCTAATTGGGGTATGAGGACCGAGCAGCGACGTCACAGTCCTTAATGGCAGGGAGCACACGGGCTTAGATTTGTCATTACTTTATGTATTTGCTTCGTTACTTATTTAATTATTTTGCATTTACATTTTAGCGTATAGTTGATCATGTTTTCAAGAATAAAAAGCGTTGAATGCCATGAGCTTAAACTGAGGTGAAACACATATTTAACATGTACAAGCAGGCCTCAAATAGAAAAGGACATATTCATAGAATGTCTATTAACTTTTAAATAATAGTTTAATATTGCTAAATAATAATATTTCAACTCAACTCAAATTTATTTTTAAAGCACATTTAAAAACAACTCATGTTGACCAAAGTGCTATACAAAAGAGACACAACAAACACAGGCACACATCAGGGAGAACCACATCAGCGAGACTCAAATGCTAATGAATAAATGTAGGTTTTGAGCCTGGACATAAATGAGTTAATGGTGGGGGCAGATCTGATTGGGAAGGGGGATGCTGTTCCATAGTTTGGGGGCAGACACAGCAAAGGCACAATCACCCCTGAGCTTATGTCTGGAGCGTGGGACAGCCAGGGGCCCCAGGTCAGCTGACCTGAGAGACCTGGGGGTAGAATAGGGAGTTAGAAGGTCTGATGTAGGATGGAGCTAGGCCATTAAGGGCCTTGTACACAAACAGGAGAACCTTAAAGTCAATTCTGAACTTTACTCGCAGCCAGTTACTAATTATGTTTATTTTCAGTTCTTATTTTTTATTAGTGCAAGACAGTAATATAGGCTAACATTAATATCACAAAGTACGAAGAAGACAATTTAAAAATATAATTAAATTATCAATATTTACCTCTTGTAATATATACACACACACGCAACATATATTGAATTATTTAAATTAGAAAAATCAAAATGGAAAATAATCAAGAAAAAAATAAAACAAAAATAACAAAATAAAATAATATCAGGATTATAATTGGCCTATTTTTTTATGTATTCATTTATTTGTTAGACCCTATTTTATTAATTTATTATTATAATAGGCCAACATGCTGTAATAAGCTGCAAGGCTACAACTTATATTTTACCTTACTAGCTGTTGCATCATAGCATCCCAACTTCCACATGGACACCGGTTACCATTTACTTCTACACCCTGGTAGTAACTTACCAGATACTACAGGCTCGTGCTGCTCTTCTATTGGCTCATCAGCATCGGAAGGCCTCGTGTCAGCGTCGGCTGAACAAAGGATAGAAGGACGTAAAGAGGCAACCAGAGAGACGCACAAGTTGGGTAGGCAGGCAGCATGCTGGTAGAGAGAGACCGGGGAGGAGACAGAATATCCGGATGTTTTAAATAAGTAAACATTTGTCGTGTTAGAGGAGGTTGTTTTACTTTGTATCCAGTCTCAGTGAGGGTCATGTTATAGCATTTGATGTGTTTTAAAGCGTCGTAGCGGTAGTGACAAGTAACCCGAATGAGGAAACCACTCTGTTTCGCGTGTCCTCGCTTCCTGCCTCGCTCCTAGGTGTGAATTCGGCTCAGCAGCGGCGGAAAAGGACAGAAAACATCGCACAGACATCATGGTTGCCGGCGAGCTCGTGCAGGAGCATCTGCGCGCGGACACTGGCGCACCTGACGACATCACGGTCGCCAGGAAGACTCCCGAGCTGGACGGAGCAGCCGAGAGATGCGCGGATCCGGCAGAGGAAGCGGCGCTGACGGGCGGGGCAGGGGACACAGACTCTAATCGGGCGCTGGAGCAGGAGCAGGAGCAGGAGAAGGAGGCGCAGCCGGATGAGAGAGAGGCGATGCTGCCCAACGGAGGAGGCGGAGGAGGAGAGGCGGGGGAGAAGGAAGGGAAGACGCTAGAGACGAGACTGTATTGGCGCCGGTTCGCCGTACTGACAGTCTTCAGCTTGTACTCTCTGGTGAACGCCTTCCAGTGGATCCAGTACAGCATCATCACCAACGTGTTCACCCAGTACTACGGGGTGACTAACGACAAGGTAGACTGGCTCTCCATCGTCTACATGGTCGCCTACGTGCCGCTCATCTTCCCGGCCACATGGCTGCTGGACCGGAAAGGCTTGCGGCTCACGGCCCTGTTGGGAGCCGGCCTCAACTGCGCCGGCGCCTGGCTCAAGTGCGCCAGCGTGAGCCCCGAGCTGTTCGGAGTCACCGTCATCGCGCAGGTCATCTGCTCCGTGGCGCAGGTGTTCATCCTCGGCCTGCCGTCCCGCGTCGCCTCGGTGTGGTTCGGACCCCGGGAGGTTTCCACCGCGTGTGCCACGGCAGTGCTGGGGAACCAGGTCACTTAATAGACATTATTATTATTATATTTTACGATGTGTTTCAAAGACAGACATTGAGTGGGATATATAACATATAATAGAGCAGAGTGGAGGAGATTAGAGACAGATAGAGTGATGGAAGTGTTGGAGGGGAAGTGAAGATAGATGGAGCCACCAGACAATCCTCAAGTTACTCAAGTACAGTTACTCTAGTACAATTTGAGGTACTTGTAGCCTTCTCTGAATATTTCCAGTTTATGTTTTTACTGTGCCATTCTGCACAATGTGTACTTTTACTCTTTACACTTAAAGTCTTTTTTGTTACTAATACTTTTGTGCTTTTACCTAATTAATGACAGTGTATTTACACAGTGGTATTGCTACTTTTATTTAAGAAAATTATCTCAGTACTCCTTCCACCGCTGCCAGCCGAACAGAGTAGAATAGAAAGGAGTCATGGAGGATACAGAGAAAATTTGGAGCCAGTAGAGCAGAAGAGAGTGGGAAATAATAACTGAGTAGCACAAGGATGTTGTTACCAAACCCTCAATTCAAACGTATAATATGATAACACACTGTATAACAACAAGTTTGTAAAGAAATATCTCTTTCTCTGTATGTGTTTCTCTGTTGCTCATCTCTAGTTGGGAACAGCCATAGGTTTCCTGTTGCCTCCAGTTTTGGTTCCCACCACGCCTGACAACATTGAGCTGACGGGTCACAACATCAGCATCATGTTCTACGGCACCGCCACTGTCTCCACGGTCCTCTTCCTCCTAACGGTTATAGGTACACACCACAAACACATGTGTCACACACATGCTGTATTGCATATATTCACTATGCACCGCCATCTGCTCCGGTCGCAGGGGATTTATGGTTCGGTTACCTCCAAGTCATGTGAGGTGACTACAGAAATGCCTCTGTACATCAGAACAGAGGTGTGTGTTTGTGTGTGTTCTTGCCCATCTGAGGACCAGATAAGAATATCCCAGAAGTCTTCCACTGTGGGGACATTTTGCTGCTCCGCAGATCTGTAAATGAGCAGTTCAGGATTAAGACTTGAGTTAAGGATTAAGATTAGAATAGGATTATGTTAAGGCCTATTGCTAAGGGTTACAGTTTTATGTATATCAACAGTGCCTTGTGCTGTAGTGAAGAAAAGGGTGGAGTCAGTGGTTGGTGGAGACAGTAAAACAGTCATGAGACATTGTTTTAAACCCACCCCATTACCCTCAGGCTTTAAGGAAACATGAGACATCATGGCTGTGGTTTCAACCCGCCAGTCACATGCAAAGACATTCTCTAATTAATTCTCTATTTAAATTCATCACAAGGAGTTTCAGTCACTTCATCACTGATCACTGTATTTCACAGTGATAGTGTGACTTTGACTATAATAAAAGTAGACGTCACGTTTAATGGGTGATTCTTTTTAAGCAAATTTTGTGTCCTTTTATTTTCATACTGATCGGTCTCATCAGATAGATGCTTGATCTGCAAAATAAGTTCAGAACTGATGCCGCTGATACCGAACCATACTGTAGGATAGACTTGAAGCTGCTCCTTCAACCGCATACATAAGCATTCAGTGATAACCTATTAATTTGACTGCAAGTACATCAAAATCAGGCTTTAGAGAAAGTGTCCAATGTTTGTGTAAGTGTTGTTATTTTACATTTAAGGCGCCTGGTGGAGTTTCCACATGCTTGAAATCTAAATACACATATAGATGATTGCTGCTTTCTTATATTGTGGTATTTGTATTTATGTGTTAATCTCTCTGATTGACAATTAAGAGGCCCGCCCAAACTGTCTCTCTGTGTTCTACAGTCATAAAGGACCGGCCTCCTCTCCCTCCCAGTCACGCCCAGGCTGTCCTCCCAGACTCTCCTCCTGACGATTACTCCTACAAACAGTCCATCTTGAACCTAATAAAGAATAAAGCATTTGTGCTCTTGCTCATCAGCTACGGTAAGTGTGAAATACCACCAGATAAATGGAAACATTTGAATGTTTTTCCATTCATTTTTTAGAGCACTTTGTGGACTCTTGGATCTAGAGTGTAAGTTTCTGTTACTACAAGCAGTCTCAATTCCTGGAGTACCATCAGCACATGAGAAAACTATAGTTAGAACGTCAAGGACCTGCAGTTATTGAGTCCTGACCTGCTTGAAAGCTCCTGGAAGAGTAATCAATCAACACAATAGATGTAGTAGGCATCACTACTTATACAGGTACCACTGCTGGCCGCCATTTACCTTTACTCCCACTATTACCACTTGCTACTATCAATTGTTTATAGTCTGGAGTTCTTAACCTTATCTGTTAAATTTCAGACCCTTAGAGCCTATTCGAAAACACTGATAACTAAAGGTCCCTGTATAATGAGTTTCAAGACCAGCAGGTCCTTTAAACCAGTAGTTTCCAACTGGTCCAGCTACAGGGTCCAGAATTCTGCTTAGTGATTAGTTCAACGTCCGTACAGTTTAATACATTAGGTGTCATACTTGCAGTTGGCCAAGTTGTTGAGCTAGCTATCCATCAGTTGATCATTTTACAGCAGGAAATTGCACTTTACAGCAGGAAATTGCACTTTACAGCAGGAAATTGCACTTCAAAGTAAGTGTGCTGAAAATTTACTGTACCTTTAAATGAAGTGTGTTTTTTATAAACTTGGCACGTTCCTGAGTCGCTTGTGGTCCATTCAGAGTGGACCCGTGACCCACTGTTGGGCCGCGGGCCTGCAACCCACCAGTTGGGAACCACTACTTTAAACCAACTGAGGAATCTTTATAGAAATAAAAACTTCTGTGGCTTTCTCTCCACAAACTGAGCATTTCCCCTGGAGGATGACGAGAGCCACTTGCATTTCTTCTGCACTCTCATGTTTCTATCTATCTATCTATCTATCTATCCATCTATCTATCTATAGATATAGATTTTATAGTTGTATGCTAACAAATGAACACTCTAGTAGCATTAATGTATGTGTCCTTGTAAGAAAACCCTCACCTACTAGTAAAGCCCGTGGCTGTTGTTAAGAATTATATCTGAAAACATTAAAACCAAACATGTTCATCAAATTAATTTCTAAGCCTAATGGATAGACTCTTTGTTTCTGTTTGATTGCAGGAATAATGACTGGTTGCTTCTACTCTGTCTCAACACTTCTCAACCAGATGATCATGGCCTGCTACGAGGTAAAAAAAAAAAACAAAAACCCACAAACAGCTGGTAGTCAATGAGGAAATGAAAACAAGCTGTTTAATCTCATGATCCTTCTTGCACTCAAACCTATCTATTTCAGCTGGGTTTTAAGGGAGGGCCCTCTTTACACCTATTATGTTATTTATATCTATGATTGGGGTGCTTAAAAAACAGCTTGTCACAGCTACTCAGTGACAAGTTGATCAATTTCAAAATGGAATTTTGGACTTATGATTCCACACCCCTTCCTTTGGGGAGTGGGTCAAAATGGGGGTAAAAACATCACAGAACAAAACCAAAGACAATTCCTTAAAGGTTGTGACTTGGAGAACAACATATGTTTCACTCACATCCTGATATAGAGATTTTAACCACAGGGTGACAATTTATATTTAATTTGCTGGGTAGGCGTGTTTGCCATGCTCCAGATAGCCCAGAAACTCATTTTGGGGGCAATCTTGTCATAATCGCTTAAGAATTTGGTCATTTACAAAATGGAACCTCAAGGCACCTATTCAAGACCCCTTTCCTTTGGGAGACGGACCAAAAACACATTTCCAGCCCATACCATTATCGATAGGGGGCAAGTCGAACTATCTGTGTCAGTTTTCGCAAATATTCTCTTTGTCCATTTGATAACTTTTCCACCTCAGCTGCACTTAAACCATTTTGCACCATTTAGCTTTTTAATCTGGTCTTCCCATTCATGTTGAAAATGTACAAAAAACAGGTGGATGGAAACTGGGTGGTGGATGGAAAAACAGAGAGAAAAGAACAAAGAAACCTCTGATGGCTTTGATAAGACATGAGCTTATTGTCTGAGTTCATTAGCTGTGTTCACGCATGCCTGCTGCCCACCATAACACTGTCAGTGTGCGTGCACGCATTCAGACACACACGCGCAGGAGAAGCAAAACGTTGGAGAGAATGACCAATTCACTCACTCTAAAACACTTCTTTCTTTCTTTCTTTCTTTCTCTCTTTCACACACACACGCACCCTAACTAATGGAGAGGCTGACGCTCATTCAGTTTCTGCTTATCATAGCAATGCACACTATCCCTGTCACACACATGCAGGCACACACATTCACACACAAACCGAGAGATGGTCACCCTTGCATGAACTTATAAAACTCTCTGAGCTGAACTGTCAGATGACAGACCTCTCCCACCAGAAACCCTGTAAATCCCTGACTCCCCCCATTTAAGAGCCCACACCCATACTGTATACATGCACTTATAGAACATGTGACTGATAGTTCATCTGTAAGAGGAACCTTTATGCCTCTGTTCAGATTTGATGAGGTTAAAGGAGCACAAAAGCCTCTTAAGTCAGCTGTGTGTTTCTTCTCAGGCTATACTAACATATCCTATCTATTCTCTCATCGTCTCCTCTCCTTCTCTTATCTTCTCTCATTTACTCTCCTTGCTTCCTCTCTTTAGAACCAGGAGTTGAATGCTGGGAGAATTGGTTTGACTCTGGTTGTTGCTGGAATGGTCGGCTCCATCCTCTGTGGTCTGTGGCTGGACTACACAAAGACATACAAGTAGGCAACACAAGCACACACTTTCCCCACCTGTTCATTGTAAGCTAACTTCTCACTGAATTTACAAAAACATCATGTTATACGTAGTCATTTTTTTTGTGAATAGTCAGGAAAAAGAGTTAGTGGCTCTAAAAAAAACCAGGCTCAGGTATTACATGGCAGGAAGTATGTTGAAACTCCTTACACTCCTGGCTGAAGGCCACAGATATTCGGAGATAAGGTTTGGCTCACAGTTAGCATTCCAGTTCATCCCAGAAGTTGAGGTCAAGGTCAGGGCTCCTTGCAGGCCAGTGAGGTTCTTCTACACCAGAGTGGCAAAAACATTTCTTTATGTAGCTGGCTTTGTGCACAGGTAGCATTGTCACTATGACAAATGGAAGGGTCCTCCCCAAACTGCTGCCACAAATTTGAAAGCAGGCATTGTCTAGTATATCATTGTTTGCTTTTGCGTTAAGATTTCACTTCATTGGAAGTTGAAAAACTGACCCAGATGGGTGTGTCCACATACATTTTGGCCATTTAGTGTATTGTCAGTTTCATGTGTCCATCGCATGTGTGAAAACAAAACAATTCTTACAGCAGAAAGAGTCGATAAGGTCAAATGAAACCTGAAACAGTCCTGTTGGAGGGAGTTAAGAGACCCCACCCTAACCTGTCTGCATGCAAGGTGTAATGTGTCTCAGTAGTTTTCGTCAGTACATTCAAAGGAATGGGATTTTCCCACTGTACAAAATTAATGTCAGCCCATTTTATTTAAAATCTGATCCACTGTTCATGTGTTTTGGAAACAAGTGGGAGGAAAATGAATCATAGCTTGAGATACAGAGGATGATCACGGAGGGAGAAGATGTTATCTCAGAGTCTGACGTGTTTGTGTTTTACAGGATGACGACTCTGATCGTGTACATCTTGTCGTTTCTGGGCATGATAGTCTTCACTTTCACTCTGAACCTCGACAACATCCAACTGGTCTTCTTCACTGCTGGAGCTCTGGGGTACGTCTGGCCACTCACACACAAGTTACAGATACTGTTTACAGAATGCATTGCATTTGTTTTTTGTAAATACTACCTATTTATATTGTATATCTATAGGATGCAATATATTTAAAATTAGAAACATGTGAATCGAAATGCCAAATGCAGGTCTGTACTTGTCAAAGTACACGCAGAGGATTTAATGATGAAACAGCACAGAAAAGTGATCATGGTAATGCCGCAGTTCATATTGCAATTATAGTATTTGGCAGTTGAACCACCTTAAGTTCAGTGCAATCCTGACACAGGACATCGTAGCATGTTTAAATAGCTCCTGTATGTTTCCAGGCTGCACAGTGTCATATTATCCCAGAGGTTTGACCTTACACATGACCTCATAAGCTATCTCCAGGTATGCCAGAGGGCTCATAAACACCAAGGCACTGTCTGCATAACTTGTTCCTTCACACTTTATGTCCATTAACAGCACCGACACTCAGTACGAGTTTATCCTCATATGAGGACATCACATTTTGGGTATACTGGACCTTCTACTTCATTCTGCTTAACTTAGACCTGTTGTCCTCGTTCATGGACACTTTTTGTGCCATCTAGTGGTAGTAAGAGCACAATACACTAATTCATGTTAAAACAAGATGGCCGCCATCTCTGCCAAGTCAGTCTGCAGCCGATCCTGACACAAAAGTGGACAAGGTCCAAAACCAGATCACATTTTATGGCTGATACTTGTTATTTATGATTAATAATGTTTGTAGTTTGATATGGCAACAAATTTGACCAATTTTAGCAACAGTAACAAGTTCAGACACTGTTTATATGCAAGTACTCGTTTGAGGACATTTATACTTTATTATCGTTGACGATGTTTAGTTCTTTATACTTATCAGGTCTTACTGATCACAAAAAGATTGGAGAAATTAAAAATGCATACCAAACAAAAGTGAATGATTGATCATATAGCTGCTGAAGCCAAAGACACAAGATCATCTGCTGCTGCTTTCCCCAGCCTGACGCTGGGCTTCAAACTGGCGACTTAAACTCTGACCTTTAGGCTGCATCACTTTCTGGTTTTACACTCAGAACTACTGCTTTCAACACAAACAGTGAAGACGCAGTTTGAGTTCTGCCTCTTTATGTCGCTGTTGTAGGTTTAAACACACCTGGTGTGGGTGTGCAGCAGGCACTGCGTGGATGTTTACATATAAATAAACTTCAAAAAATAGAGGGCACATTTACAAAACGACACATTCCAAACGTTTATGGCACTTAAACGATTTGTTCAGCAAGATAATTTTTACAAAGGCTATGAACAAACTACACCACAGTTGCATGATTTAACGTCGCCACCACAACAAAGGTGTTAAAGCCACTCATTAGGAACCACCTATTTTAAGACACATAAATGCTTCACGACGTATTTTATGTCGTAGAACAAAATGTGACAGTCTTTTAAGCTGTGCATTCAAAAAACTGGAGCACTCTATCGAGCGTCCAGGATGTACAAGCCATCATTTGTGGACTTTTCAATCTGAATATAATCACTTAGAACAACACACGTGCATTTAAGGTGGTAATTGTTTTGAGCAGGGCTGTGTGTGACTGTAGACTGCGGCAGCATGGATTATACTTAGGACCTCTTTAGTTTGATCTATTTTGGATTTTTGGGAGATTTATTGACATCCTTAGAGGCTGTGATGTCATATTTAAGCATGATAGACAGATTATGTGACTTTATTTAGTTTCTAAACTCTGTTCCTGTTACTGATGTCTATGTTTCAGATTCTTCATGACGGGTTACCTGCCTCTGGGCTTTGAGTTTGGAGTGGAGATCACCTACCCAGAGTCTGAAGGAACATCATCAGGACTCCTGAATGCTTTTGCTCAGGTATCACAAAGTTCTTAAGTGTCCTCAAAGTGTTACATGTTATACTTTTACATTCATTAATCATACGTTTGTTCCTCTCTGTGTGTGTGTGTGTGTGTGTGTGTGTGTGTGTGTGTGGTGTGTTTGCAGATATTTGGGATCATTTTCACTCTGATTCAGGGCAAACTGACCACAGACTTCACTCCACTGACTGGAAATCTCTTCCTCTGCGCCTGGATCTTCCTGGGAATTCTGCTCACTGGTAGGCTGTGTGTGTGAATATGTGTGTGTGTTTATTTGTGTATGTCAAACCAAATATTTGAAAAAAATGTAATGTTTTCATGTTTCAGCCTTAATTAAGTCAGAACTGAAACGACACAATGTCAACATTGGAGCTGACAGCAACCACCTGCAAGCAGTAAGTACATAAACACACACACAAAAACACCTCTGCCTTCTTGTACCCAAACACACACAAAGCAGATCACGGTCTTTGGCCACATTGCATTATAACTGCGGAATGTTTTTCTGAATATTCCTCATTGTCAGATAAATTTCATTAGTCTTCAAGCAGCTTTAGAGGCATATGCTAAATCATTAGCACCTTTTAAACCCCTTCCGAAAACATTGCTTTATGGGAAAGCGTTAATGAATCTTTAATATGTTTAATAGGTTTTGTCATCCCTCTCTTTTATTTATTTTCACATACTTTGTGCTACTGCCTGTCTATCATCCCCTCTTTCATCAGCGTCCCTGTCAAGTGCCCTTTAGAGAGAACAGCATTTAGTCTGAGTGTCTTTGTGCAGTATTTTCCCTCCTACGGGCATCCAATGGGGTGACCTTATGACGAGACAGATTCTTGAACCTCTCTCTGCTTTTCCTGAACAGAGTGTCCCTTGTCAGTTCGGACATCTAGTCTCTTTTGTGTTTCTGTCCTGGCATACAACATTTCGTCTACACAAACAAAGCTATAAAGTCCTCTTTCTTCTTGAATCTCACTGTACCACCAGCTGATTATCTGTAATAATACCTGAGGGTGCCCAGCAAAGCAGTCTTCAGACAAGCCAGGTCATTAAATCTGTTTCGATTTCTGGACTCTTCAGTCTTGGTGTCCTCACCGTCCTGCTGATTCACCACTGAAGTGCACTTCAGACGAGGCAATTCATCAAGCCCATCCTCTCCTTCCTCTTTGTCCTTAGCTCAGAGGTTTCACACAGAGATCACACAGTCATGTTTGAGGTTTATGAGATTAATCACAAGACAGAAAATGAATGTCTCACATATGTTTTTTCCTTGTAAAAATCAACTGAAAGAAAATGAAAAAGGGAAATCACAGTTTTGCCACATTGTGAAGGACCACCATGTCAATTTAATTGTCATTTGGTGCCATCTGGTGGTGGCATATAGACAGACACTAGTAGGTACTGGAATAAATTTACTAAAAGCAACCTAAGACTGCAACTACTTTCACCAGGATCAATTCATTTTTCCTATAACTCCATAACTGCAAAATAGAAACTGTAACTGTAAACCTGCAATTATTTATGTGAAAGAGCTGCCTGTTGATTTTTTTCTGAAACAAGAAATCAACTTACGAATAGATTCAGACCAGCTGGATAAATATATAGCCAGTAAGTGAAGGTTCAGACGATAACATGACTTGTTACACCTCCTAACCCTACACCTTGCTGATAACAAAAAGCATGTGTGGTAGATTAAAATGAAGAATGATTCTGTGTCAGCTTTATTTAGAAACTGAAACCTCAAGAGAGATTTCTTGAACATGGTCTGTCATTGGGTAACACCAATGACAACCCTGCTGTCTAAGCAGGCTCGTATTTCATTAATCAGCACCCTTTTAGCCTCATCAAAGTAAATGTTACCACATTATGATGTCTGACTAATTCATCCGTGGCTCTTGTATACCGCAACAAATGTTTGCGGACAGAGATGCACCAATTGCAATTTTCTTGGCCAATTCCAATTTCCAGTTTTTTAAAAGTCTGCCCTACTTATTCCGATTTTGCCCGATTTCGATTTTCTTTTTTTTTATAAGAAGTATAATTAACAGCAAACACAGACATGTTTTATCACTTTTTTATTTCAACATATACAGATAAACAGAGGCAACAGATTTCTGATTACAGTCGAGTGTTTAACCGAGCTAACCCCACATCCCATTTCCCCCCAACCCTACCCACACCCCTTTCCCTTCCACCAACCAACATGAGTAATACCCACACAGACAGAGCATCCTTACTTACACAGATTCCACATTAAAATTGTGTTTGGACGTGCATCATTGACTCTTGCTGATGATAGTTGCAGGTAAGACATGTCCAAAAAGCTCTGAAGCCAGTGAATAATTGAGATATCCTGAGGGGGTTTCCAACACTGGACTAAAATCTTCTTAGCTGCAGTCAGGCCGGCATACACAAAAATGTTTGTGTATGCTGGCCTGACTGCAGCTTTTTCCTAAATGGAAAATTTGATTGCATGTCAATAATAAAATATTGGCTAAATAACTTTAACATTTTCTCCCAAACTGCTCCAGGTTACAGGACCTACTTTCTCTCTCAATCAAATTCAAAAAAGTGCTCCAGGTTACTGGAGAGAGTTTTTGTTTAAATAATATCCAACTTAAAATGAATTGCAGTATATCCCACTTTATCTAACTTGGTTGACTTGTTTTGTGATTCCTCTGAGTAGCAAGCATGGGGATGAATTACAGCTTTTTTCCTGAAGGTCTGAAAAAGTTGCAAAATATGTAGCTACATTGTAGAAATAATGTTGCTAAAGAGGTGTGTGACAAAGCGTATTTGACATAGTGGAAATGAAATTGAGTTGCTGTGATGAAGTTGGTCAATATTAGTGCGGCTAAGCATGCGAGGTGAACCACTGTGTGTTGCATGCATGTAAATTTTGATCTGCAATATCTGAGACTGACCATCCAGTTAACGGTCATGGTCAGTCATGCTGAATATCAGTTGATTGTTGTCACCAGCCGATCAGTCGGCACATCTCTACTTGAGCAACTGTTTTGCTGATCACTTCCCTCCCTTTTTCTTTCTCCTAGCTTCCTACTGAGTGTCCTGGGGACTTTCCTTCAGAAAAGAAAAGCAACGGATTCAAGCTCGAGCCCTCCCTCAGCTTCTCCCGTGAAACCTCACTGTGACCCTGCCAAGTCACTGCATCGCAGGACAGCTAAAAAGGTCTCCCTGCTGCCCTGGGATACTTGCTGGCACAGCTCTCTATGTGAACCACCTAAAGGTGCACTTGATTTTTTGTTGCCAAGCTCCTAGATAATTGGAAAGACGGAGGCTCTGGATGTGATGCCAAGTCTAGTCAAGCACAGCCACAATCTACAGTGGATTCAAGACAGGCGGGTGACCAACAAGTCACAGAGGGGCAGCAGGTCACCCCCAAAGCTGTTTGACCTTGTTAAAGCTCCCCTGCAGTAACATCCAGGTCCATCCACTTGCATAGAAGATTACCTCCAATTTACAGAACTTGTGGAGATGTTGTGGATTGGTTAAAAAAAAAGTATGCAAGCAATGTCATGCAGAAAAAGCTCCAGTGCACTTTATTACTACTGCCCTCATTGTGGGTGAAGCATGACGCTCCCAGTTTGGTTACTGTATGTAAATCCAGTTTTACTGGAAAACAGGCTGGTAAAACACGCTTCCGATTCCTAGATCACCGTCAAAGGTTTGCTGTAGTTGAAACAAAATACTCCTGTGATCTTGAACAATCACGACAGCAAGTGAAGTTTTCGGAGTCTCCAGGTGTCTGTGTGGCAGAACCAGAGAGCCAATCTGTTTGGTTTTGTACTGCGGCCACAGCACTGGGCCAACGTCTCCTGAGTTTACTTGAAATATCCTTTCATGCTCTGAACTGAAGTTGGAAAACTCACTGTAAATGTTGTTCATATTGCTCCATTTGATTCCTTCACTACATACGGCAGTAGTAGCTACAAAAGAGGAACACATCTGAAATCTGGTTTGAAGTTGCTTTGGTTGAGGATAGTCGTCATCAATCCTGTTTATTTTTCTGCAGTTTTGCATGTATATAAGACAGGCCAAGAAGCAGCTGCAAATAGTTTTGTGTGGTTTGTTTTAGTCTGCATAATAATGGGCTGACTTACAGTCATACCATTAATGACAAACAAATGGTATGACTTTAAGTCCCAGGAGGTCTAGGCAGTTACTGGAATCTTCGCAGGTTTTTATTAGCAGCTTTTCTTTGTGACACAGGTTTATGTATGAATGTTGTCCTGCATAGGTGGAGATAAATTATTCCGTTGTGACTGAATGCGCTTATCTGGTACAAGAAAAAAAAAAATAGTACACTAGGGATGGCAAGTCATTCCATTCATGACAAATGACTGATGCAAAAGAGAAAAAAGTTCAGAGGACTTGTGCTTTGCTTTCAGATTCCAGGGGTGCATCCCTCAGTGTTTTCTCTTGTTTCCTTCCCTTAAGTCACCACCACAAAGGGACAAAGGGAGCAGACGGACGGGGAAGACAAGTACAGGCAATTTAGAAGTGTCCATTTGCTTTGAAGGTGAAAACTGACACTAAGAATAAAAACACTGTGCTTTTAAAGAAGATTATGACATCAGAGAAATCACTGAGAAATCTGCTGTAGTAAAACAGATGTATGTATTCTATACAGAAGCTTGTACAGTGGCTTGTACAATGGCTTCCCTGACAACTCAACAGTGCTGCAGTGTTACCTACACAAACCACAGTGGACCAAACAGAATGTGAATATGTTCTGTGCACAAAAAGAAACACATGCACAACGTCAAGTTTTTATACTCTAAAGCATGATTTCAGATGTGTTTTTAATGTTGACGTGTCCATTGTTACTCTCTGTGCATCACAGCTGACAGACAGATGGACAGCGCCATCTTGTGGGGCTCTTACAGTAGTGACAAAGTAAACAGTGGACAGGAGAAGCACAAAATAGTTCAATTCTTTTTTTTAAAGGTAGGGTCTGGAGGATTTTCCAGTTGCTGTTTGTAAACACACATTCAAATTTGGCCCCTCCTATAAGGCTCAACTCTCCCGGGTGTACGGAGCCCAGAGGTATGGAAGAAGGCTTCACAGAAGAGGTTCAGGCAAGGCTTGCGCTGGTGCACGCTCGGACACGCTCGAGCACGGCACCTGCGCTCTCTCATTGGCTGGGGAAATCTCCGCCCAGAAGCGGTCCGAGCTCACAAAAACATCAAAATACAGTTAAAGGGCAGGAGCTGTGCAAACAGAGTCACCATCACACGAGTAGAAGCCCATCGGTGATGATTAAGCAGGATTTCATTTGTATATGTCTATATTGTGTTTTGTTTGAAAATCCTCCAGATCCTACCTTTAACAGAAAAAAATGCTAATTTATTTTCGATCCATATGTTCGTTTTATTTCTGTTTTATTAAAGAACTCTATTTTTTGTAGCTTTTCATTTATAACTTAAAGTATACTTTTTTTTACATAAGTGTAAATTCAAGTTGCCAACTCTTACCTTGTCAAAATAGATGCAAAATGTGCATTTAGCTGTCACCTAGCTTACCTCCACTTTTGTGTCCAAAGTCTTAACCCCATCTACACTGGATGTATTTATTTGACAGTCATCTGACATCTGACAAGCATTTTTTTGTACACTTAAAGTCAAAATTTTAACACAAATGTATTTGTGATAGTTTTATTTGATCTTCTATTCATTTGGCAGACATTTTATTTTAGGGTATTTACATAGTTGTCACTCCTCCCTTTGTATCTCACAAGGCCTGTCTGATAATACTGATCTGTGTTGACTATATTGGCAGAGGGTAGTTTATACCCTATACCTTTCTTAATATACATTTATCATGGTCACATGTTTCCCCAAATGTTTTCTCATTTTTTTTTATTTTTTTTTGGGGGGGGGGGTATTTATTTGGTTCGAATTTTTCAAACCTTTGAAAATAGTTCGTGTGTAAAGCTTTTCATATGTTTGATGCATTCTTTAACTTTCTGGTTCTTAGCAAATGAAGAGCTAACATTTCTTTGTCTTTCTTGAATTTTTTTTTACAACAGGAACTTTTATAGAGCACTTATATTATTTATTTGTTTTGTCAAGCTAGGCTACTTATTAATCTCTGAAAAAATTATTAAAGGGTTAATAACGTATAGTTCTCTGGTCTGAAAATACTGAGTTCAACCTGTTTGATACAACCAGTGAAACATTTCATTGCACATTTCCATATTTTAAAAAATTGCATTCAGTAATGTGTCCTCAGTCTTGTGTTTATTCAAACATATTTAACATTGTCGCTCTGATTTCAACATTTCTTTATATGACCAAAATTGATTTTACAAGTGAAAGGAAAGGATATTATGTGTTGTGATAGTGTTACTGCTGCTGAGACAATTTCTGTATTAAAACCATTGAGTTGCAATGCTTTCTCCTCCAGTGGCTCTACTGTATCCATGATTTTGGGGTTTGAAGGGGGTTTTGAATTCTGGTACGAATCCATTTCTGAGTGGCAGGATGTTTTTATGCTCGTAATCCACTGTTACCTGATGCATATCAACCTTATGGCAGATGTCAAACTAATATCCGGACAGCTAAAGTGGTACTTAACAGAAAAGGTTTGCGTTAGTCTATGTTTTTCTCATTGTCAACAAATCCTGTCAAAAGACCAAACACTGCAGTGTGTTAGTCTGTCTTTCTACACTTCCTGATCTGGTTTGGGGCACTCAGCCCCAAGCACTTTGGTTTCCGCTGAGGTTTTAAGTTAAAAAGTAAACAAAGCTTAGTGATTTCTTAAAACAGCTGGGCGCTGCAGTTTTTTCACATTTCTCAACCAGGAGTAAACAATGGTTTTGTTGGGAAATATTTGCGGAAGCGTGATAATTCATATTTGGTGCTCTAGTTGGTATTTGGGGCAGCAGGACATCTGTACATCTGGGTCAAAATAAACTACATTGTGTGTGTTCATGTTAAAGAAGGAGCATTTCACCCAGTGCAACAGTGTGATTCATTAATGTGTTTTTAATAGTTTTTGGACAGCAGTGAAGCTCTCTGGCACAGAGGAAGAATAAATATCAAGCTTTGGTACACACACAATACTTGTCAGGACATACAATCACTGTTGGTTTGGTCTTATCATGGGATTTGAGGACAATAAGTAAGATGGAGAATATCGTCAGCCTCATTTAATCCGGATACTGATTTAAAACCACACTGGACACTCCGTGCAGATTGTTGCACTAATTGTATCCCATTATTTAAGAATGTAAATGTTTAATTTAATTTATCTGTGAAGCTGCTGATGGATTTTAAGTAATTTTCTCAGTAATTCATTAAGAATCTTGTCTGCTGTCATAAGTACTGGAATCACATTATATGCAGATGATATTAACCTGTACATTAAAGTTTGAATCAAAAGACACTGATCAAAATCACACCATTAAAAGCATTCTACTCCAATGTCTTCGAGCATCTTTATGGCTGTTTTCTCACACACTGGAAACACAGATTTCCTCTTGAACTACACCCAGCAACAGTTGATTACTTTATCCAGTTGCTAAAAATATCACAGAATCTACAAATTTGGAAACAGCTGAGGGATTACCTGCTTCTCCATAGGTAGAGACAAATCTTCAATGGCTTCATCTTATAAAAACATTTAAATCTTTCAGATATTGTCAGCAAATTGCCCACACTGTTTTGTGCACCAAAAGCAAAAGTTTTACAAACTTATATTTTAGAGATACAAGCTTTTCACCTGAGAATGATATGGTACCAACACACTGTTGATGTCATAGAATCAACTATAGGCTTGTCTGTAGAAAAAAAAATAACCCCAGGGTTCTAAAATCTTATTTGTGATATAATTTATTCAATAACTAACGGACTAAAGTACATCAGATTAAGGAAGTAAAACTAAATTATGTTCACAGTGCCTCTTTTGGCTCATTTTTAGGTGCAAGCGATTGCATAATGATTGAATACTCCGCCTACAACTTCCTCATAAACTTTGTGATGTAAACTTCCCCAAAATACACTTTGCGGGGAGAAATACATTAGTTTGCCCTTTTAAGACTTACATTAGTTTGCCCTCTTAAGACTTAGGCATACACTTACAGAAATAATCTTCCATGTATGTATAGTCTGGATAATTTTGACAGGCTTGAGGTGACTGGTGCTATTTCACACATATTTTTTCAACTTGGACACCACAGAGAGGAAGTTCCATCATCGCCTGTGATACAGCTTTGTACTAGACACAAATAGCCTTTACAGATCATCCCGTTTTCAAACAACAGGCAGAGAATGGCTCGACTGGGATTAATCCTCATTTTTATGCTTCAGTTTGAAGGTAATTGCTCTGATTTTCTTTTGTTGTTTAAGCATTATCTTTTTTTTTTGTAAAATGTAAATTTTCATTATTATCATTACAGCCTGGAAAAATCAAACCAGCACAGGAAACAAAAACATCTTTGGGTTCTTTGTTCTCAACATTAAGGAGATGAATTCTGTCAATAACATACCTAAGATTAAAAAAAGGGGGGGGGGGGGGTGAGATCAAATAATATATGTTATAGTGGTTGATATGCAGTACATCTGTAGCAGGAGGGGTTTACTTCCGCCTCTGCACTGTAACAATTACAACACTCTCCAGCCTGTTGTTTAATAGTCATTGGCCTTTGACTGGACAGTGCAGCTTAAAATATAGACCAACATGACTTATTTCCTCCTTCGGTCCTTTCAATAGACAGTAAAAGTATTGTGAAATAACAGTCTGAACAAGTCAAATGTCTGACCATATGTTTCCACATCTCTCTTCAATGGTGATCATTTGATAAACAATCTTCATGGTTTTCCCTCAAAAAGTAAACAAATAAAATCCAGTGTCTCATGGAAGGGCTCTAGTGAACAAAAAATGTGTTTCCATCTCCTGATCTGTCCTTATGCTGTGATGCTGTGCCCCAACGTACCAGTTTATGTGCAGTCTATGTCTAAACCAAAAGGGACAGTCCCATCTAGTGGCTGTAAGGGAGGATTGTAATATTTTCCCAACTGGCTACATGTTAATGCATTGTTGACAAGAAAAAAATAAAATGAAGGCAATAAGTTATTTTGGAAGCACCTCTAACAAAGAGCTCAGCAGAAAGAATTGAAAACAAGTGAAGAAATAAAGTGAGGTGCGAAAGAAGAACTGTGGAGGAGCGTTAATACGAGAAGAAAGTCAAAGTCTCAAAACTTTTTATACATACTTTTAAAGGACAACATATAGTACAATGCAGATAGCTTCAAGGGCACAAAATCCAAAAGCCCATCTGACTGAAGTTTTTAAATTGTGTATATGCATTTAACTCATACTTAATGTTTATATAAAAAAGATAACATCAGATGAATTGGTCCAAAATCCTCAATAAAAACAGAGGCATTTGTTTAAAGGTCCAATGTCTAAATGGGGCCATCAATGTTTATGCATCGGCAACCAATTAGCAGCCACTTCGCATTGTTAAGACACAGAGTTGTTGTTTTTTTAACGTGAAACTGCTGTAATTAGTGTTCTTACCCGTTAAACTGCCAGGTCTGTTTGTTTTTTGAGAGGAAGAGACCTCTGTGGATGATTCTTAAGTTATCAGAGAAAAAAGGTTAGCACAAATTAGCATACGCTTTAGCTAGCGTGCTGTATCGAACATGTAACTCTTATTTGTTACATGAGACAGCTTTATTATAGTGTTTTTACTGGGTTACTTTTGGGAAGTATGTGGATAATTTGGCTCATGGCAAAAATCTAGTGAATGTCTGAATCAGAAATAAAGTCAGCACATATTAAAGAGGCAACAGATAGGATTCGGGGTTTTTTTTAGCTTGGCAACGAGCGTGGCAATGACCGAATTGACCGTGGGGAGCAGAGATTATCTATAAAATGTAGGCTGTAAAGCCACCGGTAAACCTCTATGTATATGTAGAATGAGAAGGTGTGTGGACACTATACTAAATAAATGAGTAAAGAGACCGAGCAACAATTATCAGATTTATCTGAAGAAAAAACTAATAGTAATGCAAATAATTATATCAGAATGTACAGTATCAGTACAAACAACAGTACACACAGTAGAATTATACCAATATGCACATGTAAACAGTTCCGATTCTAGAATAAACGTTACTGTGTGGAAACGATGCGGCCGGTTGGAGCTCAGATTGAACATGAAACAAAGCAGTGTTCACTTAGCTGGGCGTAACTTAGCTGGGCGATGTCCGTTGATAGCTGCCTCCGTGAGAAGAGAACAGAAGGAAGGGAGGGGGGTATCACTGTCCGAGGGCTGCTGTAGAATGGCAACGAGGATGTCAGCCGACCAACACTCGCTACCCAGTCCCTGGTTGTGGCAATTTGCGATGCTGGCCAGCTAGGAATTAACTAGCAGCCAGTACAGTAGGGAACTGCCCATTGGTCCGACAGCCTATTGGTCCGATAGCCCACTGGTTCGACCATATTAAACCTATTGTTCCGAAGTCTGTTCCGAAATCATCATGATGCCCTGTGGTTAAGGTCTGGTTAGGTTTAGGCACAAAAACCACTTGGTTAGGGTCAGGAAAAGATCATGGTGTGGGTTAAAATGAAAAAGAAAGTGGCAAACACATAAGCCGTGAGCCTGCTCTGCCTCAAGCCTTTCCCAGCTGACCCAGAGCCGGTCGTGGCGCACCATACTTACCCGCTGCGAGCTGTTCAGCACTGCGGACAGTCGGACTAATGGGATGTCAAACCAATGGGCTGTCGGATCAATGACTTGGACCCATACAGTACAGTCCTCTCTTGTCTAGCTAACATTTAGCCGTGTTACTTACTGATCCATTAAAAAGAAAGCTAGCTGGACATCGGTGTTGAAGCCTCTTTGGTCATGGAGCTCCCTCCATCTCTTGAACGCCTGACTGAGGTTTACTCTTGTTTTTCCTCTTCTTTTATCCCTCTCCTCTTTGCCTCCTCAGACAGAGGAGCTCGTTTTCTTTTGCTAGGCCGTTTTTCACTTGTCTCCAAACTTTGTCTGTCTGCCATTGTGCTTGTGACTCTTTAAAGATTATTTTTGGGTTTTTTTTGCCTTTAATGAACAGGACAGAGTGAAATGGGGTGAGAGAGAGAGTGGGGGTTGACACGCAGCAGAGGGTTGCAAGCTGGAGTCGAAACTGCGACCGCTGCAGCAAGGCATCGCCTCTGTACATGGGGCACCAGCACTATCCACTACGCTACCGACGCCCCCGTACTTGTAACTCAACTATCTCATGCCCAACTCCTCATAAGGACCAGTTCCAGTCCCTGATTGGCTGACCGACCAATTTCGCAATACATGCATTTCCTGCCGTAAAGCAGATTTTTTCCGCGAGATTTCGGCACTGGTGGCAGAGCTTATTGCACAGCCACTAAGTAACCTATGTAAATACTGATAGTCTGATCTTACTGTGCAACCCACATTATTTTTATAATGATATATTTAGGAAAAGATGCTATTTGTTGCCTCTTTAAGTTATTAAAGAAGGTGGAGCACAGATGAGCAGTTGCAGGACAAGCTGACTTCCTGTGACATGCCCAGCAGTGGGACAAACACCAATTTGTAACATGAAACTGCTTTAATCAGTGTTTTTACTGGTTTTAGTCACCTGGTCCGTTTGTTTAGGAAAGGAAGAAACCTCTGCAGGTAATGCAGCTCCTGCCAAAAACCTCCTGAAACAATGAAACGGAAGGAATTTTGGTAGAAGTTTCAGCTGGTTGTAGTCTGCAATCCCCACCAATTGACGCCGATGCCACTAAATCCCCCTAAATCGTACACACTGGACCAACTGAACAGTTGTCTTAGCTTAGTATAGTCTGGAAACAACTAAAAATAGACAGACTGACCAAATAAATCAAACCCTTTTCCAATATTTTCTGCTTACAAAAATGTATAATTGTCACTAACACAAAGTGTTCCTGTCTTTCCAACAGGCATCAGTGGAACAATCATCTTTCACTACTACAGACCTGGACATGATGCCACTCTGCCCTGTGCCACTATATCATCCACTGAGACAACATGCTCCTCTGTTACATGGTTATATAACAAAAATGTATCTCAGACTTCCACTGAGGTTGAGAATGGAAATGTTATGAAGAGCTCAGCTCGAGCTGCCAGACTGAGTGTGGACACTGGCTGCTCTTTGGTAATTAACAAGGTCACTGCTGAGGATGTTGGTTTCTACACCTGTCAGCAGGGGAGGAGCACTTCTCAGGATGTAGATTTATTTTTAAGTGTTCTCTCAAGTGAGTCTCATTTTAATTATACTCTGATTATCAGAGGAGTATTATGTTTTAAGGACAAAATTTGTGCCAAGCTGAGCCTTATTTCAGCTGTAGGGGAGACTGGGGTAAGATGAGCCACTTTTCATATTCAGGATCACTACATCAAGGCTATTATAGTTTTGTTGCTAACTAATATATGTGCATATATTTCAGGATGTTGTGCATCTCTACAAACAAACAGAATGAGTGTAAACATAACTGTTTTGATAATATAGCATGTCCAAAAAAAAGTGGTCTCGTGGCACAACTTACCCCGTGTCTGGGGTAAGTTGAGCCATCTCCCTCCTTCCCTCCCCCTGCCCTCCTTTCTACCCCCCTTCCCCCCACCTCACCTTCTCTCCTCCCCCTCTCTCCCTCCCTCCCTCCCTGGGTTAAGATATTCCAGTTATACGTACATGTCTGTACTGAATTAAATAAGACGCTTCTTCAAATCCATGTGTATTTTTATTTATAATACACAATTCAACAGGTACAAATCTTTTTTTTAAATTATTAATGCATATAGCAACTTTAAAACATTTTAACATAGGCCTGAGAATGCCTTAAAGTACGCTTAGCAAGAGAACCTTAACAGCTGTGTTTTTGGAAAGAAAACACTGAACTAAATCCATAAACGTGAATCCTAGTTTGGTGTCCTTGCTAACAGGAGGGCCTCCTTCATCCTCTCTAAACTCCTCCCTCCATCTTACTCTCATTCCATCCACCACCCTCCCTCCTTCCATCCATATCCCACCTGCCCCTTTACTGCTGGGACTCTGAGGTTTGGGGAGTTTTGCGATTGGGTCGCTTCTTGGGAAGAATACCTCGTCTTTCTCCTTGAAAGTAAAGCTTGGTTTACCATATCCAGCTTTGCCTCTTCTCAGAAACTTACAACTCAACTTAACCCTGTTCAAATTGTTCAACTTACACCCTAGCTACCATGTTGATTTTATTAGCCCCCACAGCTAAAATGGTGCACTTTCATGCTAGCTGTACTACCTCATTTTGTAGTTAATAGATACCACAATTGATGTATAAAACAAATTAAAAAATTATCTATTCTGGTCTAAACACAATCCCCATGAAACTTATGACAGACTAAATTCACTTTCATGAGTGAAAAATGCTTTGTTGGACATAAATGTCTAACCACTTAACCCATGTGGTTCTTACCTTCACAGACTCCATAAAATGATGCCTTCCTCCTAAATATTTGGTCACATGCTCAATTTTATTTACGGTTTCCTAGCAACAAGGGGTGGCTCAACTTACCCCAGTCTCCCCTACTCCAGTTTTTGTCCACTACACCTCTACCTGCGAGGCATCTCCCAAACCCAGCAAGGTGTCTGTCAGTGGGATGTGTCAGTTTCTTGATTAAGGTGGACAGTGATGAGTTAAATGTTTCTTTCTTTGTTCTTAATAAGATGGGATGGTTATTTTCCTTTTCCTTACACCCTCAGTTCATAAGCACACATTGGAACTGAATCCCTCACTGGTTTTGGACAATGTTTAACACTAGGGACCTTCTCAGTGAGATAACATAGGCGAAGTGGATGAGGCTCAAGAAAAGTCTATTTGATTGATCATTGCGCAGTAATTCATAAGAAAAGTACTGACTTTCGCTGACTTTCTCGTAAAAGTAAAACTTTTTTTACGCTGAGTTAACAGTTTACACTTGTTCTCTCTCAGTCTCTCCATCTCCACCAGACGCTGATCCAAAGAGGGACGGTGAAGTCACATTACAGTGCTCTCTGTCGAGATACAGTGACCTCGGTCCTTGTCCACAGAACAGCGTCCGCTGGGTGGATGAAACAGGAGCTGTGCTGAGTGGTGAAGGTGTCGGGTACAAGTTCCTCAGACAGACAGAATGTGTCTCTGCTCTGACTGTGAAGCGTCAGAGTGGCAACAACAGGAAATACACCTGCCAGTTTGTTGATAACAACAAAGTCGAGATAGAGGCTGACTACACACCTGACTTCACAGGTGGGTCAACAGATAGTCAGACACAAACATCTAATGAGGGTGAGATAACCTGCAGCTCGCTGGGCACAAATCTTTGCAGATAAAATATGATGACAGGAAAATGAGTATGGTTGTTTAGTTCTGCAGGAAATTAAATATTACATGTATTTACTAACCTGTTTGTTTTTCTAACCCATGTTCAACAGAATCCACAGGCTGGTCTCCTCTGAGCTACGTCATGTTGGCTCTGCGTATTGCAGGACTGATCCTGATGATCGTAATCACCATTCATGTCATCAGAATCAAATGTGAGGAAATTCAGGTTGTCATTTGCTGGAATTAGTTAAAATTAATCTCATTTTAATGCTACTTTTTATTTTGTCCTCCAGGGAACAAAAAACCACTTGATGACGACGACAGTGTGAGTTGAAATAAATGTTCCTTCTGTGACCACAGAGGCTGCAGTCTCTCTGCTTCGTTCTCTTGAAACAGTTTTTCACAATCTCCTGTGTTGTGTTGTATTTCACAGGAAAACAATGATGGCGACGTCCAGTATGAAAATGATGGAGCACGTCCTGCTGCTGCTAGACTGCACTGATCAACAACTTCCACACCAACTTCAGATCATCACAAAGTCACATAGCATCAGTCATTTTACACTTGTGATCAAAGCTTTGACTCAAAATGACTGTTCTATATTTAGTGAATCACTGAAGGTTAAAATCATCAGGTGGACTCAACGTCTGCTGGATGTGTGGATACAGATGGAAATATTTTCTTTGCTATATAAGGTGTAAATATGTCAGAGGTGTTTTTCTGCTTCAAAGAAGACAAATAAATGGTCAAACTGAGCTTTAAATGATTGCACTGCAGTCGTCCTCCATTTGTTTCCTGTTGAACAGAGCACTTTCTTTTTTCATTAGTTGCTGTTGATTTTTTTCTCATCCAAATTTGTTGATAGTCTGATGTCATTCTTGTCAACCATCAGTATTTATGTTCAGCCTGAGTGTGTTGTGACTGTACTTTGTACTGTATACAGTACCTTTGTGTCCCCACTGGCCAGTTCCTTCAAAGGACACTGCTACAAAAATGACTGTGTAGCTATTTAGCTAACACATTAGCAAAGTTTCAGAGGACATAATTTATTCCCTCATGACAGAAACATACTGTATATAACTTGATCTGAGATCCCTCTGTGCATTTAATTTCTGTGTACCAAACTGGCTGCTGGAGAGTTTAACTTGAAGAGGAAATCTTGCTACAGTGTCAAAACATATAAAAAGCCTGCATGAAGTGTGCATGTAGAGACAAATTCAACCACAGGGGGCGCACTGCAGCAGTAACAGGTGGGACGTCTCAATAGGTGACTGTGTCTTGTTGCTGGAGGTGATCATGACCAGGATAATAAAATGTCTAAAATCAGAGGATGAAGCTGAAGAAGGTAAATTTGCACCTATCAGGACTAGATCTGAACATATTCTGAATGTAAAGTACTGTAGTTTATTAACTTCAACAAATGTCTTAACTGTATTTTAATCCTTAGCTCCATCCTCAGATTCTAGTAGTGTGTTTTCTGTCTATTAATATATCACAATGGCTCTTGAAACACCATTGAAATTCTTCAAAAGTGACTTAAAGGCCTGGAAACCTATTTTCTCAATCAGCTTCTTACTGTGACGGATTGGATCATTCATGAACTCTCTACTTTCTGTTAAAGCTCCAAGAGTTTCAGTTGTTTCAAGAAGCAGTGGTGACGACAGCTATCTGTTGCATCACCTCATGTAGCCTTGTCTCGGCCAAAATGTTACACTTGAACACACCATAAATATTAACAGGCACATAATAACTCTAATACAAATAATTCTCCATACCAGCAGATGGCAGCAGTCTGTATTCACCATACAAGAGGGGAAACCAGGAGACAGGACAGATTCAACAAGTTAAATGACTGATTGATCATGTGTTAATCTCAGGTGAGAAATCAGGGTTAGGATCAGAGCCTTCAAACCCACAAGTGTGTGAAAGACAGTACATCCTGGACAGGGTCAACACATACAGAGTTCATTCACATTCATAGACTCACCCTCAGGAAAATTAGATTCCTGTATGTCTTTAGACTGTGGGAGGCAACTGGAGCACCTGGAGGAACCCCACACAGACACAGGAAGAACCAAAGGTGACACCACAGTCTTATTTAGACATACAGACAATATATGTCACCTTTACCATGATTAGGACTCATGTTATTGACTGAGCACTGATTATATGACTGCACCACTGCTTAGCTGACAGCTTGGCCGCAGATGCCACGTTATTACTGCACAGCTGAAGTTCAGTAAATGGACAGGTTCACAATTGTTCAAGTGTAATTTAATACAATATTTACATGCCCATATGTACATAGAAACAGGTTTTGGTCATTGTCCACAAAATACAGTCCTTTTCCTGGTAAAATCTACATGATGAAGTTAAACTGAGGCTAATATGATGCTCTATAGCAGTCTGAGACAAATAAAGTGGGTATCCTTCAAAGTTACAGTGATGTTAGTACAAAGTTACCTCTTTGTGTTTCAGTGTTACAGTGTTTAGCTGAGCTGGTGGGGAAAGTGATGCAAAGAGGAACATTTTGTATCAAAGTGACTTTATTTGTCTAACTCAGGCTTGTGAAGCCTCATATCATCTTTAGCTGAACTCGACTGTTGTTTTTGTCCCCCATCTCTTACACTGGAAACACATTAGGAACGGACCACTTCACTGCCAGGTCGGACCAGAGGACTGATTACAATGACCAAATACGTTTTTAGTGTACAGGTGCGCATGTTAGCTTTGTTGTGAGACTTAAAAAAAAAGTCAGCCTGCCTTCAACAATGATTATTCTTACCTCAAAAATAATCTTAAAATGAAATGAAAACTTGACAAAATCTCTGAAAAAAAAAAAAAAGTTTTTCACAGCTAGCTATGAGCTGTTCATCCATTTACATTGTGTGTCGCATTACACACATCTGTCAACACCTCCTTCAAAACTTGTGCAATACACTGTACTTCATCATGTCATTTTCTTCCAGTGTGAATACTCTACAAACCCAAAATATGATTAAGTTTAATATGACACAATGAATGGCTCACAGAGTCAGCATGATGACATCAGCAGAACAGTCAGTTGCACAGTCATGGCAAGTCACTGAGGGTAAACTAAACTGTAGACACGTAAATCATAAACCATTCAGTCCCAGGTACTCAAAGGTAGATCCAGTGTTGATAATTATATCTATAGTAAAGTTTAAAGATGTAAAAAATAGGAAACCTTAAAGAGTATATGTCAATCAGGCCTTGTCAGGAAACACAAACTGGTGACATGATGATCTTCTTTAGAGCAGTGCTGGCAGTGTAGCTCTGGGGATCACAATGTCTGTCTGTCTGTCGGTCAGTCGGTCAGTCGGTCTGTCTCTCAAATAACTGCTTTGGTCCTGACTGAAATATATCAGCAATTACTTGACTGACTGAGATTAAATTTTGTACAGACATGTATGTTCCCCAGAGAATAAATCCTAATGATGCTGGCAATACTTTTTGACTGACTTTTTCTCTAACCATCCATCCATCCATCCATCCAGCAGCCAGCAGGCTGAGCAAAATATTCCAGACATCCGTCTCCCTTGCGATGCTTACTAGCTCTTTCTGGGGGACCCCGAGGTGTTCCCAGGCCAGATGAGATACATAATCCCTCCAGGGCATTCTGGGTTTGGCCCAGGGCTTCCTACCAGTGGGACATACCTCTTACAGGAGGCATCCAGGAGACATCAGGATCAGATGCCCGAACCACCTCAACTGGCACCATTCGATGCACAGGGGCAGTACCTCTACTCCGAGTTCCCTGTAGATCTCTGAGCTCCTCACTCTATCTCTATGGCTGAGCCCAGCCACGCCACGGAGGATACTCAGCTGTTTGTATCAGTGACTTTTTCTCTCGTGCTACAAATATGTTGACACTTTTGATTTTCACTGAAAAATACCTCAACAACTGTTTGATGGATTATTGTGACATGTGGTACAGACATTCATGGTTCCCAGGGGATGGACCCTCGTGACTTTGGTGATCCTCTGACTTTTTGTCTAGTACCACAAGCAGTTTGATAAAGTTGGCTTTTTAAAGTTTAACAAGTGTTAAATTGAATATTATGACATTTGGTGCAGATATTCATGGTGCCTAGAGGATGAATCCATCTGACTTTGATGCTCCTCTCACTTGTCCACTAGCACCACCCTGAGGTTTACAAGTGTAGTTTTGACTGACACGTCTCACCTGTTGAACAGATTGTCATGAACTGTGTCTTGTTACTGTGTATTTGGTTTCTTGCCAAATATGCCACTTCCTCTTTTGATGACACCACTGAAATGACAGAATTGAAATGAGGGTGGGTGTTATTTGATGTTATTTTGGGGTCCCTGTCAGCAAATAATGTAATCAGTAATATCAATATCAGTTCCCAGCATCTTTACATTTGGGGATAAAAGGTTTTCACCTGAGCACATGTACAACCTGTGTGACACAAACATTTTAATAGAAACTGCTACATGTGTATTTTGAGGAAACCTCTGTTTAGTCAAGTCACTTCAAATGCACCTTCTGCTTAAGATGAATCAAAGCAAGTAAGTCGAATGCTCTTTAAATTGCATTTATTTGTAATCTTTAATCTGAAACAGCTGCAGTTTGTGAAACAGATGTTTCTAATAATTGATACTTTTGTGTGCAGTCTGTTAAGAGGGCACGCAGAAATGATGTAACTAACTGTTTGGAAGTAACGACAGGCTGGGTGGTGGGTGATGCTGTTTCTCAATCATTTTTGTCTCAGTAAGGCAACCACAAAGAGGAAACAGCACCATCTTATACAGTCTGAAATGTGTGAAATGTCTCACACGGCGTCCGTCTGCTGAGAGAGAATGGACACAAAGTTAATCCTCATTTTTGTGCTTCAGTTTCAAGGTAAACCTCTGATTTTTAAACAAATTTTAATTACAATTTTAAAATAAATGTTAAGTTTTTATAAGTGGTTGATGAAGGTTAGTGTGAGAATTGCTACCAGGAACAAGACTCTATTTTCCTGCTTTAGAGGACACTCTGATGAGCTTTGACTTTTCTGGCCTGTGAAAATAAAAGCCAAAGATTGTGTGAGCCAAGAACAAGACAGAAATGATGAGTTAGTTACTTTTAGGAAGATTCTTAAATGTATATTGACTGTAGTAAATGTCACGGAGAGAGAAGTTAACAAAAGTAATGATCTAATAGTCTGTCTCTGTTCTCACTGTGGTTTCTTTAAACTAGTCTCATATTTACATGGTAAATTGATGACGATCGTACATACAGTGCACAGAGAGAAAAACCATCAGAGCTCAACAGTGTGTATTTCCCAAAGTGCCCATGATTCACTGATTACAGTAAAACTTCTGTATTTGTCACCCTGGACTCTATCTCCTGATGTTTGTGTCTAAGTGACTAACGGAAGAACAAGTTGTGAAATTGGTCCGGTATTAAACGAGAGCGCTGCATCTTCAAGAAATAGCACACAGCCAATGTGCGTCCACTAAAAGTGCTTGTTTTTGTTTTTGCAGCTGACAGGCTCAGATTGTTATTAGAAGTGTCTGACAGCATTATGGAAATGATCCCTACAGAGAAATACAGCGTTTAGTCTTGACCTTTGGCTTGATCCCGTCTGTGTGTTATTGTGTCTGAGTCTCGCTCAAGGAGAAGTCTCGTTCTGAGATCTCATGAGTTGAGTTGTTGCAGGCAGGATGATTTTATGTGTAATGTGTCATTTCTCACAGAGCACTTGTTCTTTTCTTTACAGCAGGCATCAGTGGAACAACCAACTATCTCTACTACAGAGCTGGAGATGATGCCACTCTGCCCTGTGCCACTGCATCACCCTCTGACACAACATGCTCCACCTTTATATGGCTTAACATCAGAAATCACTTTCCGTTATCTGCTGAGGTCTTGAATGGAAATGTTGTGAAGAGCTCAGCCCGAGCTGCCAGGCTGAGTGTGGACACTGGCTGCTCTTTGGTCATTAACAACGTCACTGCTGAGGATGTTGGTCACTACACCTGTCGGCAGGGGAGGAGCATTGATCATGATGCATTTGTGTATTTAAATGTTCTGACAAGTGAGTCTCATTTTAATGAAAAACCACTGACATTATCAAAAGGGAGTTCTTATTTTGGCATGTTATTTGGGGGCAAATGTTGCAATATACCAGGCTCAGCCTCAGTTCAGCTATACACCATGTTTTTGTCAAATACTCCTCTACCTGTAAATCCCAGCAAGGTATCTGTCAGTTTCCTGATTAAGGTGGACAATGATGAGTTTACACATTTATTTATATCTGTGTTCTTATTAAGAGAGGGTGATTAATAATGTGGTCCTTTCCCAAACTGATCCCTCCCTCAAGCCCTCAGCAGTCAAAGACACTCCACATTAAGGGTTAACAACAGCCGTCAATCATCCAGGCAGTTTGGGGACAACCCTTTGATTTAGGAAAGATGTTAACAGCCATCAAGACGATGTCCCTAAGCTCACTTTTCACATGTCACTGAATGCCTCACTGGTTTGGGACGACCATTAACATGAGGGACCCTGTCAGTGAGCACACATAGGTGGAGTGGTTGGGGCTCAAGAAAAGAGAGGAGCCATTCAGACTGGCTACTGATTGTTGATTGCAGTGATTCATGGACAAAGTAATCTTCCCCCAGTTAACACTGATTGACATATTTGCTGATGAATATTCTTCACAAGTTTCCTTTCTTCATTTTGTTTACTCATTTGTTGAAACATTAATGAAAGGCTGTGACTCCACCTTCATATTTTAACTCAGTGAAGCAATGATGACAATAATGGAAAGAAATGTGTCAGGGTCTGGTAGTAAAGTTGTTCACTTTGTGGAAGATGTCAAACTTTTTTTTATGCTGAGTTAACAGTTTACACTTGTTCTCTCTCAGTCTCTCCATCTCCACCAGACGCTGATCCAAAGAGGGACGGTGAAGTCACATTACAGTGCTCTCTGTCGAGATACAGAAGCCTCGGTCCTTGTCCACAGAACAGCGTCCGCTGGTTGGATGAAACAGGAGCTGTGCTGAGTGGTGAAGGTGTCGGGTACAAGTTCCTCAGACAGACAGAATGTGTCTCTGCTCTGACTGTGAAGCGTCAGAGTGGCAACAACAGGAAATACACCTGCCAGTTTGTTGATAACAACAAAGTCGAGATAGAGGCTGACTACACACCTGACTTCACAGGTGGGTCAACAGATAGTCAGACACAAACATCTAATGAGGGTGAGATAACCTGCAGCTCACTGGGCACAAAGCTTTGCAGATAAAATATCACAAAAGGAAAATGAGTATGGTTATTTGGTTCTGCAGGAAATTAAATATTGCATGTATTTACTAACCTGTTTGTTTTTCTAACCCATGTTCAACAGAATCCACAGGCTGGTCTCCTCTGAGCTACGTCATGTTGTCTCTGCGTATTGCAGGACTGATCCTGATGATCGTAATCACCATTCATGTCATCAGAATCAAATGTGAGGAAATTCAGGTTATCATTTGCTGGAATTAGTTAAAATTAATCTCATTTTAATGCTACTTTTTATTTTGTCCTCCAGGGAACACAAAACCACTTGATGATGACGACAGTGTGAGTTGAAATAAATGTTCCTTCTGTGACCACAGAGGCTGCAGTCTCTCTGCTTCGTTCTCTTGAAACAGTTTTTCACAATCTCCTGTGTTGTGTTGTATTTCACAGGAAAACAATGATGGCGACGTCCAGTATGAAAATGATGGAGCACGTCCTGCTGCTGCTAGACTGCACTGATCCACAACTTCCACACCAACTTCAGATCATCACAAAGTCACATAGCATCAGTCATTTTACACTTGTGATCAAAGCTTTGACTCAAAATGATTGTTCTATATTTAGTGAATCACTGAAGGTTAAAATCATCAGGTGGACTCAACGTCTGCTGGATGTGTGGATACAGATGGAAATATTTTCTTTGCTATATAAGGTGTAAATATGTCAGAGGTGTTTTCTGCTTCAAAGAAGACAAATAAATGGTCAAACTGAGCTTTAAATGATTGTACTGCAGTCGTCCTCCATTTGTTTCCTGTTGAACAGAGCACTTTCTTTTATTATTAGTTACTGTTGATTTTTTTCTCATCCAAGTTTGTTGATAGTCTGATGTCATTCCTATCATCCATCAGTATTTATGTTCAGCCTGAGTGTGTCTGAATATTCTTATCCATTTCACTGACCACAGCAGCTCTGTGTCCCCACTTGCTAGTTACTCCAAAGCACACTGCTACTAAAATGACTGTGTAGCTATCTAGCTAACACATTTTCAAAGTTTGTCACCAATATTCCTTCTATCCAGCAAACACGTTAGCTGTGGTTAATGGTGATGATGAATCTTTTCATACTCTATATCCTGAGGACGTAATTTATTCCCTCATGACAGAAACACACTGTATAAAATTTGATCTGAGATCCCTCAGTGCATTTCATTTCTGTGTAATAAAAGCTGTAGTCAATCTGTAACATCTGATCAAAACCAAATTCACTGCTGGAGAGTTTAACTTGAAGAGGAAAACTTGCTACAGTGTCATGCATATAAAAAACCTGTGTGAAGTGTGCATGTAGAGACAAATTCAACCACAGGGGGCGCACTGCAACAGTGACAGGTGGGACGTCACAAGAGGTGACTGTGTCTTGTTGCTGGTGATCATGACTGAGGTGATAAAATGTCTAAAAACAGAAGATGAAGCTGAAGAAGGTAAATTTGCACCTATAAGGACTAGATCTGAACATATTCTGAATGTAAAGTACTGTAGTTTATTAACTTCAACAAATCTCTTTAACTGTATTGATTTTAATCCTTAGCTCATCCTTAGATTCTAGCAGTGTGTTTTCTATCTATTAATATATCACAATGGCTCTTCAAACATCATTGAGCTCTTCAAATGTGGCTTAAAGGCCTGAAAACCTATTTTCTATCTAGACCTATCTTCTTACTGTGACGGATGGGATCATTCATGAACTCTCTACTTTCTGTTAAAGCTCCAAGAGTTTCAGTTGTTTCACATAAAGGCCCAGACACACCAAAGTGACACCAAAGAAGCAGTGGTGACGACAGCTATCTGTTGCATCACCTCATGTTGCCTTGTCTCAGGCCAAAAAGTTGCACTTGAACACACCACAAATATTAACAGGCACATAATAACGCTAATACAAATAACTCTCCATACCAGCAGATGGCAGCAGTCTGTATTCACCATACAAGAGGGGAAACCAGGAGACAGGATAGATTCAACAAGTTAAATGACTGATTTTACAGCTGAAGTTAAGTAAATGGACAGGTTCACAATTGTTCAAGTGTAATTTAATACAATATTTACATGCCCATATGTACATAGAAACAGGTTTTGGTCATTGTCAACAAAATACTGTCCTTTTCCTGGTAAAATCTACATGATGAAGTTAAACTGACACGAATATGATGCTCTATAGCAGTCTGAGACAAATAAAGTGGGTATCCTTCAAAGTTACAGTGATGTTAGTACAAAGTTACCTCTTTGTGTTTCAGTATTACAGTGTTTAGCTGAGCAATGTGTGTTTAAACTGTAATAAAAGGTGACATACAGCTGTCAATATGAGTGACTTTTTTACAGTACAATCTGAAGATACAACATCTGCTTGTTGTTGGCACAGAAAACAGTTTGACAGATATTCCTTACATCACTTAAGGTGTAAAAAGAGCGAGCAATTTATCCTAAATATAGAACATTCATTTTAAGTCAAAGCTTTGATCACAAGTGTAAAATGACTGATGCTATGTGACTTTGTGATGATCTGAAGTTGGTGTGGAAGTTGCTGATCAGTGCAGTCTAGCAGCAGCAGGACATGCTCCATCATTTTCATACTGGACGTCGCCATCATTGTTTTCCTGTGAAATACAACACAACACAGGAGACTGTGAAAAACTGTTTCAAGAGAACGAAGCAGAGAGACTGCAGCCTCTGTGGTCACAGAAGGAACATTTATTTCAACTCACACTGTCGTCGTCATCAAGTGGTTTTTTGTTCCCTGGAGGACACAATAAAAAGTAGCATTAAAATGAGATTAATTTTAACTAATTCCAGCAAATGACAACCTGAATTTCCTCACATTTGATTCTGATGACATGAATGGTGATTACGATCATCAGGATCAGTCCTGCAATACGCAGAGACAACATGACGTAGCTCAGAGGAGACCAGCCTGTGGATTCTGTTGAACATGGGTTAGAAAAACAACCACATTAGTAAATACATGCAATATTTAACTTTGTGCAGAACTAAATAACCATACTCATTTTCCTGTCATGATATTTTATCTGCAAAGCTTTGTACCCAGTGAGCTGCAGGTTATCTCACCCTCATGAGATGTTTGTGTCTGACTATCTGTTGACCCACCTGTGAAGTCAGGTGTGTAGTCAGCCTCTATCTCTACTTTGTTGTTATCAACAAACTGGCAGGTGTATTTCCTGTTGTTGCCACTCTGACGCTTCACAGTCAGAGCAGAGACACATTCTGTCTGTCTGAGGAACTTGTACCCAACACCTTCACCACTCAGCACAGCTCCTGTCTCATTCACCCAGCGGACGCTGTTCTGTGGACAAGGACCGAGGCTTCTGTATCTCGACAGAGAGCACTCTAATGTGACTTCACCGTCCCTCTTTGGATCAGCGTCTGGTGGAGATGGAGAGACTGAGAGAAAACAAGTGTAAACTGTTAACTCAGCGTAAAAAAATATTTGACATCTTGGAGAAAGTCAACAACTTTACTACCAGACCCTGACAAGTTTCTATCCATTTTGTGTCATCATTGCTTCACTGAGTTAAAATATGAAGGTGGAGTCACAACCTTTCATTGATGTTTCAACAAATGAGTAAATAAAATGAAGAAAGGAAACTTGTGAAGAATATTCATCAGCAAATCCATATGTCAATCGATGTTAAGTGGGGGAAGATTCCTTTGTCCATGAATCACTGTGAGTACTGGACAAATATATAGTAAAGCTGGAACTGAGGCTGAGCTTGGAGTATTGCAACATTTGCCCCATAAAAACATGCCAAAATAAGAACTACTTCCTGATAACATCAGTGTTTTTTTAATTAAAATGAGACTCACTTGTCAGAACATTTAAATACACGTTTGCATCATGATCAATGCTCCTCCCCTGCCGACAGGTGTAGTGACCAACATCCTCAGCAGTGACGTTGTTAATGACCAAAGAGCAGCCAGTGTCCACACCCAGCCTGGCAGCTCGGGCTGAGCTCTTCACAACATTTCCATTCTGAACCTCAGTGAAAGTCTGATATTGATTGCAGTTGTAAACCCATATAAAGGTGGAGCATGTTGTGTCAGAGGGTGATGCAGTGGCACAGGGCAGAGTGGCATCATCTCCAGCTCTGTAGTAGAGATAGGTGGTTGTTCCACTGATGCCTGCTGTAAAGAAAAGAACAAGTGCTCTGTGAGAAATGACACATTACACATAAAATCATCCTGCCTGCAACAACTCAACTCATGAGAGCTCAGAACGAGACTTCTCCTTGAGCGAGACTCAGACGCAATAACACACAGACGGGATCAAGCCAAAGGTCAAGACTAAACGCTGTATTTCTCTGTAGGGATCATTTCCATAATGCTGTCAGACACTTCTAATAACAATCTGAGCCTGTCAGCTGCAAAAACAAAAACAAGCACTTTTAGTGGACGCACATTGGCTGTGTGCTATTTCTTGAAGATGCAGCGCTCTCGTTTAATACCGGACCAATTTCACAACTTGTTCTTCNCAAATACAGAAGTTTTACTGTAATCGGTGAATCATGGGCACTTTGGGAAATACACACTGTTGAGCTCTGATGGTTTTTCTCTCTGTGCACTGTATGTATGAACATCATCAACTTACTATGTAAATATGTGACTAGTTTAAAGAAACCACAGAGAGAACAGAGACAGACTATTAGGTCATTACTTTTGTTAACTTCTCTCTCTGTGACATTTACTACAGTCGATATACATTTAAGAATCTTCCTAAAAGTAACTAACTCATCATTTCTGTCTTGTTCTTGGCTCACACAACCGTTGGCTTTTATTTTCACAGGCCAGAAAAGTCAAAGCTCATCAGAGTGGCCTCGAAAGCAGGAAAATAGAGTCTTGTTCCTGGTAGCAATTCTCACACTAACCTTCATCAACCACTTATAAAAATGTAATTGATTAACATTTAAATAAAACAACAGAGGTTTACCTTGAAACTGAAGCACAAAAATGAGGATTAATTTCGTGTCCATTCTCTCTCAGCAGATGGATGCTGTGTGAGACGTTTCCTCTGCTACAGATGTGTATATGATGGTGATGTTTCCTCTTTGTGGTTGCCTTAATAAGGAAAAATTGCTTAAGAAACAGTATTACCCACCACCCAGCCTGTCGTTACTTACAACCAGTTAGTTACATCATTACTATGTGCCTTCTTATTGGACGGCACATGACAGCTTTAATTAATAGAAACTTGTGTCAGTTACTTGACGAAACAGAGGTTTCCTCAAAATACACATATAGCAGTTTCTATTAAGATGTTTGTGTCACACAGTTTGTACATGTGCTCAGGTGAAAACCTTTAATCCCCAAATGTTAAGATGCTGGAAACTGATATTAATATTAATGATTACATTATTCACACAAACAAAGCTTATCCATCAAACAATTGTTGAGGTATTTTTCACTGACATATTTGTGGCAATAGAGAAAAAGTCATGGATACAAGCGGCAGAGTTTTCTCCGAGGGGTGGCTGAGCTCATCCTTAGAGGTAGGGTGAGGAGCTCAGAGATCTACAGGGAGCTCGGAGTAGAGGTGCTGCCCCTGAGCAATGAATGGTGCCAGTTGAGGTGGTTCGGGCATCTGATCCTGATGTCTCCTGGACGCCTCCCGTTAGAGGTGATCAGGGTAAGTCCAATTGGTAGGAGACCCTGGGGTAGACCTAGAATATGCTGGAGGACTTATATATCTCATC